TCAGTTGTGCCCATCCCCTGACGTTCGGCTCGCAACACGCAGCTGCTATGGGAATTTTCTGACACCACTGTTGACGAATTTCTGCATGAAGACTTCCAATTTCTCCTACAAACTTGACTGTTGTACAAATATAACTGAACGCCGATTTTGTTGCCCGTCAAAATTTGCATATAAATGGCGATTACAACACTGCCTGGGAAGACCGCGTCGTTTTTTTCAGTTGACAGGCTTACTCCACATTGTCTGGCTGCCGTCAACAAGCAAAAACATGCGTTATTGGTTGGTGTAAATCTGCTGTGAGCTTCACAGGAGCCCCACTTAATTTGAGCGAGTTTACGGTCTGGTATGCGGATGTTGGTAATGGAATAATCATTGCTCCTTATTTTTTGAGAGAAAACGCAACGTGCATTACCGTGAATGGAGCTCGTTACAGAACATGGAATCGAGAATTTTTCTTCCAAGACTCAAAAGAAATGAACCGTTAGGAACGTGTGGTTTCAGCAAGATGGAGCCACAGACACACAGCACGAGACACAATGAATTGTTGCGACAACATTTCCCCGCACTGCCTCATTCTCTCTCAGAGGCGATCTCAATGGCCGCACGGCTTTTCCTTTTCTATTCTCAAATAAAAAAAAATTTAAAACAATAACTGAAGTACTTTTGTTTTTATTGACCTTTCAAATACGTAAGTTTCTCTGGCGCACCCTGTAGAATGCGTATTTCTATTGATATGATAAGATGACCTTAAGAACGATTTCCAGATAATAACATTGTCTTATATTCGGGTAAATACTGTAGTACATATATGGTTAGATCATTTTTTTAAAGTTTTGATTAATTTTTAAGTAGTTAAGTATTGAAAGTTATTGGAGACCGCTGTCTACAAAACTACTAAAATTACATTTGCATAAATAACTAAGAATGTTCACACAGAAAATTACCCTAATCATATGTTTGCACAAATTCTGTAATGAAGACATATCAAAAGATTTACAAGAAAATGTATTATTATTTACAAATATTTTGCAAATGCAGAACACAGTCAACGTTAAAGATATAACACGAGAAGTAAGACATATGAACATCAAGCAGAAGAATCAATACAAGGCAAGAGTTTTAAGAAAAATGAACAGTGGAAAAATGGAATGTTCTTCATAAGTCAAAATGAATATTGGGCTACTGTAGTATAAAAGAAAGAATACCTCTTTTCAGCAGTGATCTTATAATTGTTATATTCCTCTGCTATTTCAGACAATTTCACTTCCAGGCTCTCTGACACTTCTGCAAATTGCTTGCTGTGCTCTTTCTCAACTGTCAACTGTTCTTGTGTTCCATTTAGATCAATTTCCAAACATCTTATCTTGGCCTGCAACTCTCTTGCTTGTTTTTCTAATGTAGTTACTTCAACTAATAAAAAAAGAACAATATGTTTACAATGTTAACCACTAGGTACAAACAGATGTTCTTCGTGAAAGTGGTGGCAGAAATATTTTTAATCTTACCAGTAAGGAGTTTAGTAAGTCTATGGGTCATATCAGTTTAAAATCACTAGTAATTGTTTCAAAACTAATTTATAAAATATATGAAGTAATTGAAGACCTCAACTATGAAAAAACGATAAATAACCTATTTTTTCAGTTTTTGTACTAAAAAATTATATTCTAGATCTTTTTTCTGGTCCAAATACTTCATGAATAGGTAGAAACGTAATATATTTTTAATTCTGTAATAAACTGCATGCCCCTGCAGAAAATGGTAATATCCACATTCTGTAATAAACTACATGCTCCTGCAGAAAATGGTAATATCCACATAAATATTGTTGACTGATGGATTGGAGAAATGCAGGTAGAGTGGGGGTATTTGATAGTCACTAGAGTATTTGCAAGTCAGCCACTAGAGTATTTGAAGTAATAGCAACCTCTGGAAAATCAAAGTCAAACCTGCTATAGATATGGCCAGGTGGGGGATATAATTCAAGATTAAGATTTGTGCTTTATATATTAAGAACTTTTTTATTATAGCTTAAATTAATCTTTGTTCTCAAACAACTTTGATAGAAATGTGATTTCAGATTTGGAAATTTAAATATGCCATTCACATTTTGAAATTCACGACTGGTTAAATTCTTGACTTGGGAAACACACTGATTTGTTTGCCTGTCATGAAGTTTATTTTATTATAATGAATTTATTCTTATCAACTGTGCCAATGTAAATAGTATCTAACAAGAAAAACATTTCTATACTTAAAATACTGTATACCAACCTTTCATTTGAAGCTCTGTGGACAGTTGGTAGAAAGAGTATGTAAGAAAAATATAGATACATAGAGTGACAAATTGATTTCTTTGAATGTTACTTTTGGGTTGTACCTAGGGATTGTTAAGGGTCATAAGATCTTGTCTTTATTCTATTTATCGTGGAAATACTACTCCAGTGTACGCAGTCAATTCACATGCATTCACAACTTGCTTGATAAGTGTGCATTCACTGCTACTATATGCCCTAATAACTTTCTCATGAGTTTAAGAACCCCCCAGGATACCCAAGGTTTTCAATTTAGTACCATTTATCTCTTTAAAATGTATTTTTTCCTCATTGTTATCTTGTACATTTTATTTTCCTTTCTAATATATTTTAATAATAAAAAAGTAAATAAATAATTAAACTTTCTCCATTGTTGTTTCCATCATAAAAGAACTACCAATTTTAAGCTTGCTCTAAAAACACTTCTAAAATTCTAAACAAAAACAAGAGTTATAATTATACACCAGATACATTAAGAAGACTAAGAATAAGATTCAACTCCGGTGGTAGGGAATGTATGAAAAGCATCAGCAGCCAATTGGCAAACCTGAACTTTAGCAACATCACTCAGTCAGCACCTCTAACTCAGAAGTTCCTGGTGTCACCTACAGGTTATGAATTAGAGTAATTTGGTGTCACCAAACTCCTGTTTCGACCTTTTTTGAATGTACTGATATGGAAATTTGGCCCCACTGCTACTGGGGAATTGTATTAATTTATTCAAAAGGTCTTGCCATAAATTTTGGCCCATCTTGCACTTTTGCTCTTTCCTGCCAAAATTGGAGGATAAAGGAAGTACAAATAAACAGTAACTTGTTTATTGCAATTTCAATACTGCAAATAATTCATTAGTAATTGCCATTTAATAATTAATTATTGATGACAGATTTTACAGGCTGCAAAATCAGGGTGGCACCTCAAAGTGATACAATGCTAAGGCATCTTGGACGACACACATTCTTACCGGTTTTATTTTTATCATTAGTAGTCCAGAAGTGCATGAGAGTTTAGAAATGAGGAATGAGCATTACCAAGATGATAATTTTCTTTTATCTCCTGATTTTGCTCTGTTCATCCATGTAGAAATGAGTGACAAAACTGAAAGGGACACGACTCTGCCTGACTACTTCTCGACATAGTTTGAGTTCACAGGACGATGCGAGATTATTCTGGCACAGGAAACAATTATCAACCAGATGTAGCATGTAAAGAAATAGTTTAGAAAACAGCAATGCAATCTGACTCTTTGGGCAAAAAATATTACAAGTAGAAAAAACCAACTCAATCTCAATGAAGATGAAAGCTACTTTCACCTCAAACCTGGTATAAGAGATGAGGACACTTAAAACGATGAACATTGAACCCAAAACAAGCATAATGCTCGACTTGTCATAAAATGGTCAAAATGCTTCTGAATTTACATACACCGACACTCAAAGGTGATGTGGAGTCTGAAGTTTATAGCGGCTTGTATTATGGAAAGGTGCATTGAAGACTCCCATTCCGAAGCCCCTATCAAAAGTCGAGTGAACCAGAAGAACAAATTCTGATGTAAACCACATTAGAATAGATTGTTCTTAGAGAAAATGCACCAATGCACAAGAATCACAAGCCAAAAGTGTAAAGTAGCACTTCATTTTTAGTGTTGGTATAAATTTCATAATACAAATTATTGTAAAAAATACTTATTTTCTAATTCAATTTCATGTGGTGTTTTTTATTTTGGGCAAAAAGAACCACTAAAAGTCCATTTGATTCATAGAATGCATATGCTTGCTAATCATTTTGTTACATTTTATTTTCACTAGACCCGCAATGTCACCCAAGTTTCACCTCAAGGTGACCTCACCATAAAACAAAAACCATTGTATTGTATTTAATTAGCTGTCCGGGTGACGCCGTGTCCCATGGCGAAGGTGCTGACGTTTAGGTCGCCATTCTGCGACCTTCCTCAGGGTGTAATGCATTACGCATTGCTGACTCCGGCCGCGGAAGCCTACGCTCTTACCATTTTATTGATTTACATAATGACCTACTCAAAGGTTAAGTATCAAGAAAGTGAATTAGAAAGATTAATATAAATAAGTAATATTGAGAATGGCAAACCAAAATCTCCCATATTATAACAATGGCAATTGTTCAGTTAGAGCATTTTTAATCAATGGCCACCAAGCTCATTTGTGAAGACAATGACCTCTACACTCATTCACACTAGTGTATTTGGCATTAGTCGAGTACATGTGTGTACATTGCTATTGGCTAAAAAAAGCCGACATAAGTTCCTTTATTCACCACATGATTTAACTGAAGTTCAAGTGAACCAATTAGCTGCTAATGTTTTTCAGCAGGCTCAACAAAAGAGTTGAATCTGTTTCTTACAGTCCTCATGACCAAATATCATTTATGATATTCGAACATGGTTGCTCAGAGTTCAAAGATCCACTTACCATCCTTTTTCTCTACTCTCAAGATTGTTGGTTCTTTGTCACCAACTCTCTTATTAAGATCATCCACAACACATTTTGCTTTAGTAAGCTCATCCTTGGCTGCATCAAGTTCTTCTTTATAACGTGTTGCGAGTTGCTTCTCTTCTTCAACACGGGATTTGGCAGTTTCCATTTGTCGTTCAAGATGATTTGATAATTCCCTAAACCTATCTTGCTCCTCCTATGAAGGGAGGGAGAAAAGAAAAATTTAATTTTTATGTCTTTCCTAAATGTCAACATACCATACAATCAATATACTGATGCATTACAAAATAAAGGAATGGAGCAGCAGCTGTAAGTCTAGATCAAAAAACAAAACCTATGGCTTTATATAGGGATCATTAAGTTTATATTTTCATTTTCGAGATTGTAAATAAACAGAAATATTTATAACTATAATAACCAAAATTAACAGATTACAGAAGGGTATCAACATTAAATTAAATATTTAAATGAACTTTTCAGAAATTATTCATAAACCTTTCATTTGTAACCATTTGTATGATTAATCATGATAAATTTTTAATATTAAAACATCAATTCCTAATTGTACAAAAATATGTTGGCATCTAATTGTACCTGAAGTCGACGTCTTAGTGCCCCACACTCTCTCAAAGATTCGTCTAAACGGGATTCCAAACGAGCTCGACTTTCCACTTCAGTTCGTTCCAAGCTGACCCGAAGTGTATCCAAATTTGCAAGAACAGCAGATTGAGTATGTTGTTCACGTTGAAAGATCTCTCGTTCCCGTACTAATCGTGCTTCCGTCTCTCTTAAGATAGAAAGATCACGTTTATAATTTTCACAAGATACTTCAGACTTGGAGAGTTTGTTCTGAGTATTGAATAATTCCTGGTAAAATAAATTAATAATTTGACAAAAACATTACACCAACACATAAACCATCAAACTGCAAGGTTACTAGTTCCAATATATTATTAACATCTTCTCAAAATAGATCTTTGATGTGTCCATTACACCAATATTATTGCAAATTAAATTCATTGCCTTGAAAATTGCATATTAAAAACCTTGGAAGTTTGTTGAATTATGTTTTATAATAAAATATAAAGTATAACTTAATATAAATTCAAATAATGTAATGAAATTAATGTTTTACAACAACAACAACAATAATAATAGTAATAATGTTACCTACATCTTGCAAAAAGGCCAGAGTCTGTTCTTGTTTAACTATAGTATTACTGTAATTCTTATTTTTGCCTTCTAAAGCGGCTATCTGTGTTTTATATGTATTGCAATTTGCTTGCATTATTTTGAATCTTTCTTCACTGTACTCCAATTGAGAAGTCATTTTACTGCAATTCATACGTAGGTTTCGCAATTCTTCTCGCATTGCATCAACTTGTTCTGTGAGAGCACACTCGTTTGTTTGACGTTCTGTTCGATACATATCGAATTCTTCTTGCAGCTCCTGCAAATCTTTCTCAGACTTTCTGAACTTTTCTGTGAGCTTTAAAAACAATTCATGTCAATATTATGGAAATACATGAAAAAAACTGAAGAACAATAAAGTACATCATAAAATAACAATGAAATACAGACTAGTCAATCCTTACCTCCTTTATTTCTTCTTCATGTATATCACAAGATGCTGCAGAAGAATTAGATATTAAGCCAAGTTTTTCTGGGCTTTTTGTATTGGATGTGTCCTCTTCAATTCTGGAATCGGTAATACTTCCCTCTCGATGTATTTTGTTTTTGAAGTACTCCATCTGTTGCATTGCTTTTTCCATCATTTTTGAGTACCTGCTGAGTCTCTCTTTGGTTTCATCCAACTCCTTTGTACGAATTTCTAACAAGGTCTAGTTCCAAAAAAATCAACATTTTTATCTAATAAAATATAAATAAATTATTAATTGAATTTTATAGAACATACACCATTAAAATTCACCTTAATCTCCTCATAGGATTCCTTCCCTTCAACTTGCATTTCCTCCTTTTCTGCCTTTTCACTTAATTCTCTGACAAGACTTAGAAGTTTTTTGTTGGTACTTTGTAATTCCTGTATATTGCTGAATGTGACAAGATGTTTTGAAATGACCTGCAGAAACACAAATTTTTTTGCAACAGAAATTTCTACATAGAAAATTCATCAGTGCCATGTGACAGTTCCAACGTATTTTAATTTCCCATATAAGTAGTTCATTGAATACATAAGGCAAGCTTAGAGAATTTTGTAAATCTATTGTGTGTGCAGTGCCTGACTGACATGTGCACTCTTGGCTGTCAAATGTTTTAGTGTCCCTATTCATTATTTTTTCAACGTAAGTTATTTATAATTTTTAAATAAAAAATATTATTGTTCAATGTTTGTAACCGAAGTAAATATTGTATAGTATGAATAATACAACAACAAACATTTTTTATAACAATAAAAAAATTTTAAGCAATAAATTAAAAATATAAGGTAATTATAATAGAATTTCTATATGCAAGTATTATTTACATTTTGTTACAAAAAATTTGAATATGAAATTTAAAATAACATTTAGATGAACACATAAAATGTGCATTGTCATACGAAATCTCCTTCTCCCACTTGGGCTTAACAGCAAATTTCTCAACAGTGTGTTCAAACGTAATCTGTCCCAAAATGTCATATTCTATGTATAACAGACATGATGCATTCAGGGTGTCTAGTTTAAGACTATTTCAGATAATTTTTATGTGCTTCAACGCAGAGAAAGGTAATTCAATAAATAACATCAACAAAAATGAAAATTTATCCAGAAGAATAGTGTCTGTGTGCGAGTGTGCCTGTCTTTCCCCTCTCTCAGCCCGTCTTTCCCTCTCTCAGCCCGTCTTTCCCTCTCTCAGCCCGTCTTTCCCTCTCTGTCTTTAACACTTTCTTATGTTACCAATATGAAAAGAAATAATTCTATCAAATCATTCATAAGCTCACTTTTTCCATCCAGTAAAATCCGTACGCTCCCAAAAAAATTGCACTCATGCTGCCAACTCGGATTGTTCAGTAAGAGTGAGTGAGTGAGAGAGAGTGCATGTGTTGTCGCCTGCACGTGTGTGCGTGCATGTGATCATGGGCATGTGCGTGTACATATGCATGGATAATAAGTTTATATATCACACAGAGAAATTTCTAATACACAAGGAAAAGATTTAATTACTTAGTACACAAAAATGCATATCTTGCAACATGCATGCAATACATTACTATAACTGCTTAAGGATTTAAAAATATCACCAGAATTCAGAAGGTAAAGTTCAGATAACAGGTGTCCAAGGCAATCTATAACTTGTAACAACCTTGAAATTCTCTTGATTCTCTCTATTCTCTTGATTCAAAAGAGCCTTGAAAGCTTACAAGTTTGTGAAGCATTAAAATTTTATTGATGATATACATTTCCACATTTATTTGTGATAGTATGCAGATGCAACAAAATTCAACAGCAGAAATTTAGGAACGGATTGATAGTACAAAAACAAATTGTTAATTTCAATTTATGTCCAGAAATGATTAATTTCACAAGTATCCAAATATTTTTAATGCAAGTAAAACAAATTTTTACATACTTGCATTGCATTTTTTTATTAATGCCACTGCTCAAAAAGATTACTGAACTAAAGTGCAAGACTGGTTACAATTGTTACATGAGCAACTATGTAATCATGTTGTGAATAAAATGTTCTGAACACCTTCAAATAATGTCCTTTAATTTCAAGAATCAGATTGCCTAATTTACCCGCTTTTTGTTACCAGATGGTAACGCTGGGTACTACTGGGTTAAATTGCTGAAAATATTTCTGAGCAGTGTCAAGTCCTGTAAAAGCTTGGATAAAGGTTAACTTTTCGTCCTAGTCTTCCTCTTCATCAGCAACTTCAGAAATTTCCTTCCCTTTAATAGCAGACCAGATAGTTTGGTGGCAAAAATAGAACTTAAGTTTTGCAGCCCACTAATTTCTTTTCGATGAGCAGCACCCTGATCAATGTAGAGGACAATTTTGCAATTCTTGGCTCCCATCTCCTAGTAAGAGAACATCTTCAAAAATTCTTCCAGTCATCCAGGCTTGTTTGTATGCCTTGTATTTTGTGTGGAACATTATATACTACTACTACAGAACATTGGATTTTCTGAATCTTGCCAATAACTAAAGAAGACAAATTTTTGCTTCTGTTGGCAGATGGCAGGCTTTGCTTCCATGCCAGCAACATAGTGATTCTTAGTTTTGATTTAGTGCCTCCATGTCATGGGTCTCCTTCAAAAGTCATGTTTTGTTGGGCTGGGAATTGAAGAACCCACCAGTTTTATCTGCACTGAAATTGCTCATTTCATAGTCCTTGGTTAGCTGATGAATCTGCTGCTTTTAGACCGAAACCGTGGCTGGATTCACATTCTCCAGATGCAGTTTAGTAAATTAGATTATGACACCTTCTGAAGACAGCCATTGGACACCTTGGAAGTCTTCAAGTCCTAGACTATATATAGCATCTTTTTTTTATATGTGATCCATCGATGACTAAAGTAGATGTTCTCGTTTGCTTAAACGAACTCACAAGAGCAGCTTCCAATTTTTCCATCAGGCATTATCAATGATTTTTCATGGCTTTGAAAACGACTCTCGTAACACCTAAAAATTTGCTCACGCCGAGTCACTATTGAATTCAAAGTGGACACACTCAAACCCATTTTGGCAGTGAGGTCTATTTACTTTTCAATGGGAGCATCAATCTTTAAAATACAAATTTTTGAATAGCAAAACGCAACTTTTATATGTATCACCACAACCCTTCCTGAAACTGACATCGTCATTGCCACATTTTCTTTCAGAAAGCACTTCTAAATTAAGAGTCCTGCTGGGCAAAAATCTTAATATTACAGTTAACTACACAATAGGACTTCACAAGTCAGATGCAAAATTGAGGAAAACTTAAGATCAAGAATATATGAATAATCATGGAAAATTATACTTTACTTATATGGATGTTTTGCCAGGACTACTCAGTTATGAATTTAACTCCAGAAAAATGTAAAATTGGGGATTGTAAAATTGAAGTTTCACTGTAGAATTAATCCAGAGGTATACAGGAGCCCCAAAGAATGCGGCAGAGATATATAAAGTATTATTAAGTAAAGAGAGGAAGAATTTATCCACACCAGAAGTTATACACTGAACTCTTAGCAATAAATTCAACAAAAATTTAATATAAATGAATTCAACAAAAGTATATGATGTAGTATATGACACAAGGCAGCTTGAAAAACCTGTTTGTCATGCAACACACTCTTCAAAAGTATGCATCTCTTAAAGAATTCATGGAATATCATCCTGGTCTGAAAAAGCAACCTGTCTCAAACAAGATTAAAGGTTTTTTCCCATTATTAATAAAACTCACCTCAGATGCTGATATAATCTCAGGAATGTCATCTATTTGGTTCTCAGATTTCACTCTAACACACTGTTGATTTGCTCTAATTTCTTGGTTTTCTTTTAAAAGGAAGCAAACCTGGAATAAAAAATAATTTTTATTCTGTACAGGCTTAATCTTCTATTAAATAATGAGGTCATAAAAGAAATAGTTACGCCACAACAGCACAGTTTCTTAAGTAATTTGTAATGTCATAAGATTATAAAATTGCTATTATTCCTACGGAATATTTCAGCATATTTTCAGAATATTTTATCATATTATTTGCTATTGGAAAATATTACACTAAAGGAATCGTTGTGAATGCCTATGAGGCATGTTAATCTTTCGACTTAGTTTACATTCCCAGAGCATTGCTGTTTCTGTTACCAGGCAATTGTAAAGCACACTTTGGCAAGTTCCACAAATCATTTCACAATAAAGTCAAGATAAGATTTTCACACATGATAAAGTATTTCAATGGTTGGGTATCTCATTTTATAAAGCCTTTGACAAACATCCTAAAGAGTAAATCAAGTAACCACACCATCTGAAGAAATTTGTTGTTTAAACTATTACTCATTACTAGTAGGGGAAAAAATTCCTTTAAAACCAATGTTCTTTCTCTACTCAGAAAACATGTTCACAGATCTATTAATATGCAACAAAAAAGTTCTGATAATTTACACAGACACAACAGTCCACACTGCCTGTTACTAATTACAAGCTATTCTCTAATAACTCCTATTGTGTGTCTAATATTGCATGTAAGAGATTCTAGTACATTAAAAAAACAGCAAACATGAGGCTACAAGAGAAATTTTAAAAATAATGCATCCTATGAATTAAAGAAACTATAATACCAAAGTAATCCATACCTCATTGTTATTGAAAGCAATGTAAACATGAACAAGCAAATAACTAAATCCACCACATTTGTAAATTTACAGTTTTGAAGAATAAATGTCATTTAATACGGAAAATATTAATTTTGAAAAAAATATAAACTTTTTGATACAAAAACAAAATGTTATCGGCTAATAAGAAAATTGATTAGGAATGCTTTTGGCAAAACAATGTAAAATTAAAATGAATAACATTAGGTTTGTGTACTCAGACTGTTCATAGCATAATTTTAAAGTCAATTATGTTTATTAATATTTTCAAGCAACAACATCTTAGTGAAAGTCAAGTAGTATCATTAATAGAATTATATAATTTAGAAAATTTAAGTGTCATTAAGAATTAAAGGAGAAGTGACATGGTGCCAGCTATGAAATCAGTCTACATTAAGATCAATTATGGTTACTTGAAGAATGGACTGGTGAATTTTAAAGGATTCTAAATAGATGTCACGGGAAACTTGTAATAACGGAAATATTAATTATGCTTGATTGTGTATACATGAATAGTTATACATTTAATAAGGATTTATATTTACTGCTGTTTTTAGTATGTTTTAACTTGTCAGTAATATTAGCAGAGTGAGGAGTTTCAAGTAGACCATTAAAGAAATGTTTTGCAAGTGTTTTATTTGGTGAAACATTAATTCCACAACAATATGAAATGGAAGCAATATGAACGCCAATATGAATAGATGGCAAAACTGAGAAAAAAAGCATACCTGTGTGCTTAAATCAACCAGTTCCTTCTTCAATCGCTCATTTTCTCTCTCAAGCTGGTCTTTTAACTTCTTCACATCTTTTATTTCTTCATTCAACGCTTCAGTTTCTTTGGCTATTATATCTAAAGTAGCACATAACTGCTCTCTGTCACTCAATAAAGATGAATGATCATCACGAAGTTTTTGCAATTCAGGAGCCTTTTTCTCAATTTGCTAAAATTCAAAAATCCAAAGGTTAGTTTTCTTTATTTCTTTCTTCAAAAATCTCACAATGAAATTTTAACAGCAAGTAAAGTATACTTTTTAATTTCCTTACCTGAACAATATCATCAAGATAATCATTCAAACGTTTGTTCTCTTGCTTTTCTTTAATTAATTCCTGGGACATATTTTTCATTTCCATGTAGATTTGTGTGAGAGTCATTCGCGAATTAAATAAATGAATTATATTAGCAGCAGCAGGAGATAATTCTTCTATCATCTCCATTTTCTTATCTGCAACATCCATAAAAAGAAATAAAACTTCAAAAAATTGATGCACAGCTCAGCCCTTATTACACAACAATATATCCTGAATACCGTCAAATGATTATTATTTTCTAAACCTAACTAATGGAATGAAGAAAAAAGTTAACTTGGAAGGGACATTTACTAATCAACTTTATTAAGAGATTTTAGATTCTTGAATTCATAATTATGAGTTTTATATATAGATGGCATTGGACGTACGCATTTTATTATTTAGCACAAACAATGATTAATAATTTTCTTAGCAGAAGCAGTCAGAAATAGCATCAACTGTTCAATAAGTTATTTAAAACTGTTCATTGAAAAGCAAGTTATAACAATATGCAACATATGTCAACTAAAAATCTTGAAATGGGGCCTATACAAAATAAAATACTTTAATTGCTTGAGCACAATAAATTCTTGGTAGAAATGAAGTGTATTAAGTACAGGCAGTTTAAAATTAACAACGATGAAAACAAACAGTAGGACACATCACACATTCTACCATTCGGCTTTATGCTTGACATTTGAGTGTCAGCTCAGTTTTGCCGTGCTTTATTGCCCTTGCAATATGCACACTGCATCATCTTTCATTTCTCTTTCTTTTTTCTCGGTTTGGTACCAATACTATCAATCTGGATATTTTAATGTGACATTTTTATGTTGGCCATCACAAATGCATGACAAAAGCACTAAGCTGGTATAGTGCTCTATCCCCAACATTTTTTTAATTCCAAGTTAGGAAGCAAGGGAAAATTATGTTGCTGGAAATGCTGCTATTGTGTATCACTATTAAACTACTGTTGGAGTCATCACAAGTCTCTCAAATGACTAGCACAAAGAAGTTTGGTAAAACCTATACTCTTGTTAAAGGGGGAAAAAATGAATCTATTCCCAAACGTGTAGTTATTTAAGTCGTTGCCTACTACAAACACCCAAAATTAAAAAGATAAAACTATTTTACAGGTAAATTGATATTTATGGTTATGGAGTGAAGAGTGGATTACGTGTTTATGCAGTGTGCTATTTTGTAGAGCTGGTATTATTTACTGAATAGCTCTGTTTACTTTTCTACTCAAATCACGAGAGAAGAGTTGAAGACACTAGTGGAAATAAAGGTGACGGATTGTCCAAATTACAAGAGATAAATAATTGGAAAATCTTCACTTAAAACCCTCACCTGAAAATAGACAAACTTAATCTCTAGACAGAGAGAAATGTAAATCAACTGAACTCCGGTAGAGGCAGCACTGACTTATTTGGCACCACATTTTAACACGCACCTTTTCAAATATTAACGCAAGTGAGCACTTACAAACTGAAGTACGCCTCTCGAGGCAGAATTCATCTTTCCACAGTGAAGTTGGCCATTTTAGTGATGACAACATGTTGTGCGTTATATATTGAAGTTTGATATACAGTTGATTGTCTAATAGTGCGAGACATATGCAAGAAAATACTACGAACTGTCATTATTGTATAAAGCCCGTAACCAAAATCATAGTCTACCGCATGAATTGTCACAAATACCACCCCAGTTGTGGAGATAGAGTGAAGATAAACTCAAATTCAAATGACTTTATATGCTGCCAGTCGGAACCGAGAATGTCTGACCAGAATGAGCTAATAAAATTTTTTAACAAGAATTACAAAACAGCACTAAAAGTCTTAGTGATGGAATATCTCAACTAGAAGTAGATCTGACCAACAATCAAAAAGAAGGTCTGAAAATAATTAAAAATGATGTCAAAAAAAATTAGAAGATTCATTTAGTTAATTGACAATCGAAATTAAGAGCTGGAAAGCAGGACAGAAATATCTCAAAATAAGATGCAATAAAATGGAATCCTCACGAACTGAGACAGAAGCTAAAATTTAGAAAATCTCAACAACATTAAAACATCTCAAAACAACCAATGAAACTTCTGAATCTAAATTTCAACTTCTTGAAGAGATTGAAGAACGGGATTTACATAAAAGAAATATAATCCTCTACGAAGTGAGTGAACCGAGTAGGGGTGATGCAGGAGGACGTCAAACTGAAGATCGAAAAAAATGTAGAAGATATCCTTAGCAACCTGCAAATGGACTCAAAGGACTGTATAATGCACACAACAAGACTGGGAAAAATAAATATCATTTCCTCCAACCCCAGACCTATGAAGGTAGTTATTAGAGATGCCAACATAGCCAAAGTTATTTTGAGGAACAGTAGAAAACTACCGGCTGGAATTAAAGCTAATAATGACCTTACACCAACGCAAAGAGAGGAACTGAAAAATCTTAGAGCAAAGCTCATAGTTTAACAAAAATCAAACACTAACCTCGTCATCAGATATATCAGGGGTCAACCAAGGATCAGATTAATAGGACAGGAAACTACAACAGCAGCAACAAGATAATTAATAATTAAAGCAGTTATGTTATACACAAATACATAGTCACCGATACTATAATTTGATCAATTTCTTGAGGAATTCAGTACTATACAAACAGACATTATAATAATTACTGAATCATGGCTAAATTCAAAAATTCCAGATAGAATGATATCTATCCCTGAATTTTCCATTTACCACAAGGACAGATCTGATACACGAGGAGGGGGAATTGATATATGTGATACAGAAAATTGAATCAACTATCGTGAGAGTAGAGGAAATCCTGTGAAATAGAAAACCTTGATATAGAAACACTATGGCTGAAACTGTGAATAGGGAGAACACAATTTATCATCATAGGAATAAATAGACCACCGTCAACTAAGTCAAGACCAAGCCAAACAGACCTAACTTTTTGAACAAATAGATAAAATATGGAAAAAAGGGACAAACCAACTATAATCGTAAGGGATTTCAATTACCCTTCCATAAATTGGTCTAAAAACAGAGCCACCTCCAAAACAGAAGTAGAAGGGGAGTTTCTTCAACTTTGTATTGCCTCTAACATAAGTCAAAAAGTCAACGAACCCACAAGGTACAGAGGAAACCAAACTCCTTCGATTCTAAATCTAGTGTTGGTAAATGAAGATATTATCATCCCTCCTATACTGAGACCAAGTATCGGGCAGAGTGATCACCTGGTAATTGTCACAACCTTACAAGTAGAAACACAGGAAAAGGAAGAGCACTCGGAAAGATTCTTTTTTAGAGTAGACTTCAATACAATACTGAAACATCTCAAAGAAGACCATGAATCTACGAACTCAAGAAACAAAGAAAAAGGCATTGAAGAAACGTATGGGGAGTTTTATGATATGTCTGAAAAATTGCTAACTAATCACTCATCAAGATATAGAAAGAAAAGAAATATTAGCAAACCATGGATTACTTACAAAATGAAAAAGGAAATCAGAACCAAAAGACGAGCTTGGAAGAAATACAAGAGAACTGGTGCAGATAAACATTATGAGGAATACAGAAGAATCTTAAACTCACGTTTGACATAAGATCTGGAAGAGAAAATTATGAAAAACATGTTGTGCAGGATGGAAACAAAGGTTTTATTTGTATATTTGGAAACAGACCTCTTGTAAAACAGGGCCATCAAATACGATTCAAAGTAATGGACTTCAAACATTCAAACCAGAAGAAATCGAAGAACTTTTTGCAGACTACTTTGAAATGGTATGTACAGTCAAAACTACTGACAAATTACCAGATATTGAAAAAAGATGAAATAGTTGAAGATGTTGAGTACAAATACTGAGACTCTCACACTCTCCTAAGACTTAATATTAACTCTTCACCTGGCCCTGATGATATTCCAACAATATATCTGAGAAACTGCAACACAACTAGCCCCAAAATTGAACGAAATCTTCAAACAATCAGAAACTATCAGAAACAGAGTCCAAGAAAATACCTCTTGCATGGAAGACTGCTAAAGTTACTCCCATCTTCAAGAAAGGCGACAAACAATTGGTACAAAACTATCGACCGATAAGCTTGACCAGCACTATGGGCAAAATTATGGAGAGGAAAATAGTTCAAAGACTGCGAGAACATACACAGAGAAATGATATTAGCCACACAGTATAACATGGATTTGTTCCTAGAAGGTCAACTACCACAAATCTGATCAGCTCACGAGATGTATGAACTGAAACACTGGACCAAGGGCAACCTATGGTTGTGATTTATTTGGACTAAGCGAAAGCCTTCGTCAAAGTTCCCCATAAATGACTAATTCATAAACTAAAGGCCATTGGGATAAGGGGGTAAACTACTAGCTAGGATCCAAGAATATCTTACTGACAGATCGTTCCAAGTTCGCATTGGCGTCACCTTATCAACATCCAGAACAGTCACAAGTGGAGTACCTCAAGGATCAGTTCTGGGACCGCTACTGCTCATCTTACATACTAGTGACCTTGGAAATGCAATTGCATCAAAATGAAACCGTTTCACAGATGATACGAAACTGTTTGCAATCCCATTAACTGATAATCAGAAGTACCTTACAGAAGGACTTTATCACTGGTAAAAGGTGTGGCTGCTTCTGCTGAATTCTAAAATATGCAAAATCCTCCATATGAAAAATCCTAGACAACCCTAAACTATCGCAGATCACACCTTGGACATTACAGTACTACAAAAGAATCTGAGCGTACTAATTTTTCATGATCTAAAATGGGAACGTCAAGTTGCAGCATTGGCCAGACGAGCTAACAGTGCTCTGTATATGATGAAAAAGGCACTCTCCAAATTACACAGCCCCACAGTAGGGAAAATTTACACGACATACGATCGACCCCAGCTAATGCAGTTTGGTCCCCATATTATAAAAAAGACAAACAATGTCTAGCAAAAATACAAAAACAAGTAATAAGATACTAAGAGAAAATTGCCTAGATTCCAATTACCAGGAAACATGTCAGAAGATGTCCTTATTGTCACTCGAACAGAGAAGAACCGATATTGTAGAAACATAAAATTTTGAATGTCCAATGTTTGAGTTAATTCTAAATTTGTGTAATTTGAACTAATAAAACTGATTACCAGAAAGCACAAACATTGATTTATAACCTATTATGCTCCTTAATTCCTTATGTCAAGTAAATAAATAAGAAAAACACCAATTAACTGATTTAGTTTAAAAATGTCAGGATTATTCAAAAGAAAATTGTATGTTACACACACACAGAATACTTTAAAAAAATTGTATGTGCACACTATCAAGATTTTTAAAGGCTTATTTAAAATAATTTCTTCCCACAAATTAAAAGTTAACTCCTCAATTGCGTAATTGGATAAGCAACAAACTGAATAATCTACTCATACAAAATCATAAAACATCTACCTTCACGAACCACATCTACTAAATCATTGGCAGACTTTAATTCCTTTCTAAGGTTCTCAATACATTCATCTTTTTCAGCAAGCTTTCTTTCATGATCTTCTTCTAGCATTCTGATTTTAACTTCTGTTTTTTCACTTTCCTCAGCCGCTGATCGAAGAAGATCTTGTAGTTCTCTAATTCCACTTTCCAATTTCTCAGATTTTGATGTTGCATCTTCATTCATCCCTAAAAAGTGGAAAATGCAAATTTACAAATTGTAATATGGATACAAAATTGTAAAAAGTACATAAATTTTTTTTAATACTATACCTTTATATAATTCTGCTAACTTTGTTTGCTGCATCAGTTCTTCTTCAAAGGTTTTTTGCAACTTGTTTATAGTTTCATGCTCCGCCATCAATTTACGCAAAGAATCTTCCAATTTCTCTTCCAAAAGAATATTGGATTGCTGCAAGCCATCCAGTGTTTGTTGAGAAATTTTAAGCTGTAAAAGACAATCTGTTAGTAAATTTACATTTAACATAAAACTGCTATGAATTAAGAACAAAACCTACTTCTTCTGTTTTTTCATTAAGTTGTGCTTCTAATGTCAACCGCCTTGTAGTATTTTCTCTGCGCGTGTTCATAATCTCTTCTGTTAATCTATTAACCTCAGTAGTCAAACTTTCAATTTCTCTAGAAGTTCGCTCTCTTTCTCCTTCCATTCGTTTTTCCCTAATAAATAAGAAAGCAAGTGATTAAAAATTTTTGATTTTTTAGAGGGGGGAAAAACATGCACGCGCACGCACACACACACACACACACACAACCGTTAAATATCTAACATTCTCTAATACAGTTTTATTTTAATATTTTTCTTTTGAAAACTCGTGTCTGAATGTTAAATTTTACTTTTCCTATAGATAAAACCCAAAATCTTTCTAGCACAAAGTGACAAAAGTGTTATATACATTTAAAAAGTTCCTAAAAAAAGAAATATCTAAAAGTGTAAGAAAGTTAAAAATCATCATTTTTACACAGTGAATTTTATTCTACATCAAACATTGAAGAAAGGGATGCACTTATGGAGAAGATTAGGAATATTCAAAAGAGAAGAGTACAAAATTCATGCCTGAAGAGTACTTCAGAACAGAATTACTAAACCACTACATTACAAAACCACCAACAGTTATTTTGTCTTTTTAGATTTCCCTATACGTATGTATTGTGACCGCTAAGCTAGAGCCACCTGAAGCAACACAGTCCAGAGAATGAATGATCTCTTGTTCACATAGCAACAACCACATTTCGCACCACTACTGGATGATGGCGCGTGGCACTCGCAACTCTGACGCAGTAGGGAGCATCCAAGGGGTGAAAATGGGGAATGGAAAAGGTTGCACGAAGTTCCGACATCGCAACGCCTTCCCCGCCCTCATTTTCTCTGGTATGGCTGCATAGTATCTTTCGCAAGAAAAGTAATCATTTATGTGTAAAAAGCTGGCTGACCTGGAATTTGGAGCAAGGCCTACTATAAACAAGATTTTGAAAAGCTCATAGGGTATCTGAGAAAGTGAAAAAGCTGAACAAGTTACTAAAATGGTCGGAGAATTTCAGCAGCGATTCAGAGGCGTCGTTGCAGTTGTAATTTACAGAGAAGGATCCTGTTATTCCACATTCTTCGAAGATTATGCGAGAAAATAGATATTGTTTTCCCAAAATAAGGTTATAAGGCTTCCAGTATTACTTCATTCAGTAGAGGAATTGCAACAGAATTGTCGTGAATGTCATAAAAATTCATAAATTTGTATAAGTTAGTTAATTAAGTCTAAGTGATTTGAAGGCCGTTACAAATTCAGTCATTCATCGCGTGAGTAATCTCTCTGGTTTCTATTGCGACAGTATGGTACCTTAAACCAAAGTAAGAAATAGTTTGAATCCAAGGAAGAAATAGTTTGAATCAAGAAAGGTTAAGATTTTGTTGATACAAGTAAAAGAGTTCTGGGTATGAATACCTTCAAAAGGATTAATAATCCTATCGAAATTTATTGTAAGTTGAGAGAGGATGTTGTAATTGAGAGTGATTGCATATGCCGGAATTCGCTGCGCGCGGATTGCGTCATTTGCCGGCGGCCCCCCTTCCCCACGAACTGGACGTTTCCGGACTATTCGCGAGGCACGTGGAAAGGTTAAGCAAGTGCCCGGTGTATCGAGACGAGCGCCGGCCACGTATAAATGCGCCGCTGCCGGCGCCGCGAATCAGTCAGTAGCAGTCAAGTCAGTCAGTGTAAGTTGATGTGTGTATGTCAGTGAAAGCCAGTGTAGGTAGTAGTCGGAAGTAAGTAGCCGCGGATCAGTTAGTGTATGTAATCAGTGAATAAGCAGTCAGTCTGTCAGTGTGTCTGAAGCAGAAGCTGTGCTGTAAAGGGTGCATCGCAGTAAACAGGGGTGCAGTGGGGAAACAGCAGCCAGCAGTTAGAAGTCTGCAGTGGAAGCTGAGCAGTGAAGTGTGCATTGCGTTGAACAACAGTGCAGTGGACTCTGTGATGCTGTAGAAGAAGTCATCAGTGTAAATAAATAATCAGATTGCAGAGAACAGGGTAAATAATAATCAGAAGAAGTGAACTGTGTAAATAAATAATCAAGAAAACAGAGTCGTGTTTAAGAAAAATAATAAAGTGAAGAATACACGAACTGTGTAATATACCTGTATATAGATCAACTAGTTTTTAGTGTTAGTAGATTTTAGTGTATAATTCTTTACAAATAAACATTTTTCTTTAAATAATACCAGTGAGTTTTAATTCACCACAGGAAGAAACGTTACAATATCATATAGTTTCTTGACAACTACCATTTTCTGTGACTACTAGCTCAGAATTCCACATTTTCAGGAAATACCACTTTCTCAAAAATAGATTCAAAATTTTTCTTCAAACTTCTCGAACTGATTGTGCTTATAGCATTTTTTAATGTGACAAAGTTCATTTTGGGGTATTTTTTTGTTTCTTCAAAAATAACACAAATAATTTTTTTAAAGATCTCTCACACTGTTAATATTCCCAATTACAAGCAATTTATAAACTATTGTATTTGTGAGTGCTTCAAATGAAGTTTTTTACTTGAAAAATAGTTTTCTGTGAAAAAGAGCTTCAATTTTGAATTGACAGTGTTTCAGGGCAATTTTCTTAAAAAATGCCTAAAATTTTTAAAGAAAACTGCAATTTATGACGAGGTTTTACTGTTCTTTATTATTCATAAAATAATATTCTGTTTTATTATCGGAAATCGAAAAATTAAGAAATTTTTTTTAAAAAATGTACTTTTTAGGTGGCGATAGATGACAGCTCGCAAGAATAAGTGGCTAGTTCTCATAGCTAGCCAAGACCAAAAGAAATCTAAAACTAACATGAGAAAGTCTTAGTTATTCTAGAGCACCACTAGTTTGAATTTGTTATAGCCTTCTGAACAAATTTAAAAAAACTAACTTGAATTCCAAGTTTAATCGTTGAGTTTCTACTTCCTCTGACTTCACTAATGCTTCACATTTTGCAGCAATCGCTGTCTGCAGCTGAGATGATAATGAACGATAATCTTCCTGAAGATGGTTGAGCTCTGCATTGCGGCGTTCCACAATTTTCAAGAGATCATCTCTTTCATCCACAGCTGCATTTCGTTGGAGTCTAAAAGCATTGTTTTCAGCTTCTAATCTGAAAGAAAGAATTTGAAATGAAGGAAATTCTACAATACATTAAGATGAATCACATGAACTCAATCTATTTAAAGTCTGTCCTTCAAGCAACGAAACTTCAGTTCATACAACATGAAATTATCAGTGGATAAATGCCATGGAAATAAAAATGCTATGGATAAAAAATGCATCTGAATTATTAATAAACACATGACATAAGTACTTAACATTTTTTGTGAAATTATTTGTATTTTACTTAAGCTTCTTACATAAATTTATTAAATTGTTTGAAATTTTTTCAAGATGTGAATTAAATTTACAAAGAGAAAATATTTTAAAACAGTAATTTTGTACAATTTTAAATTATTTTTGTAAGTAATAGTTTGTACAGTTGCATTTGTTAAATCCCACGGTTTTCCAGTGCCATAATAATCCTTGACATTATTAAGTTTTCCAGGCGTGAAACAACCCTAAGAATATACTCAAAAAAGAAACACTTCTTGTGAAGAGTAATACTACTCTTGCACTGACCAATAACAACACTTTTCATATTAACATAAATGACTTAGCACCAATAATCATAAAAATACCACTTGATTTCAATACCCACAGAGGCTCATTGGTTAGCTTGCTCGCTTTCCATGGTGCAACCCCCCCAGTTCAATTCTCAGCCAGGGCAAAAGTATAACTGCATACTTTCCTTACAATTGTCCCGGTATTTATTGCTATGTGAAGATGAGAAAGCCCACCCTAAGGTTATGAAGGCCAGTATATACAACGGAGGGATGTCTTCCTGCTAACCACATGAACCCCTTATGCCATGGCTAAGACCCTGAGCCACCGCTGGTCAGCCAAGGCCCATATCGAGCGCTGGAGCTAAAGGACAGAACTTTTTGATTTTCTGTATCTTACCTATTTATTTGATCCTTTAAAGTTGAAGTTTCACTCTGCAATTCTTGCCATTTTCCCTTAATGTCATCCAATTCTTTTATAGTTGCTTCTAACTTAGTATTTAATTCTTTACATTCTAACTCTTTTTCACCTACTTTCAGTTCTAGAGCAGATACAGCTTGCTCTGAAAGAAAAGCAAAAGAAGATTTAACACCATAAACTGCATCTCCTCTGTGAAAATACTTCAATAATGTTTTTGAATTTCCTAATTATTGAAATATTGTCAAATTAAACAAAGATATAATGCTATGCATGAATTACCATAATCATATCAATTGATAAAAATAATAAGTTCAATATGGCAGTAAAAATTAATCAACATTTACCACAATACTAACAAAGTTAAATTAATAACCTAATTAGAAATAAGACAAACTATTGACAAAAAATAGAGAAGAAACGTATTATATTTTCAATTAAACAAATAATGGAAGAATGTTGAATACCATATTTTATTTTCTGATTATAAACAAGCTTATGTCAGTATTAAATGGAAGCAGTTGTTCAGAATATTAAGGGAAAAATAAATGTTTAATTGATTACACAATCAAAATAACATGAGGTGTCAAAAAGGTGATTCACCCTAAGTTACTGTATTTACAATCTTTCTCTCCACAATTCTGATGAGATTAAATTTCAGAATCAACATCCTCTATAAATCAAACAATGACTAGTGTATACAGATAATATTGTCCTGAAAGCAAAATATCAATATCACTTAAATTATCTTGATGTGAATACAAATAACACAAATAATTTGACAGAAGAAAGCAATAAGAGGGTAACGAAAGGTAATAGAGCCTACAACACAAATGTAGCAATCCAAAATTTGTTCTACTAAACAAAAACGTACATCACATTATGGAAAAATTTAATTAGACCAATAGTTATGTAAGGGGCAGAAACATTGGTCCTTACTCAGAACTATGTTGAGCAAGAGCATAAAGTTTAAAAAGAAAATTAGACTATAAGAATATGCAGAGCATTTCAAAAAAGACATGATGAACATAATGAAGACCTAAATTATTTCCTGTAAGGGAATATAAGGTGAAATAAAATTGAAAAATCTTACAGAATTTCTTGGCTTGGGCATGTACAAAGGAAGTAGAAATAATGCCTAGAAATGTAAAAATTCAATTAAAAAAAAAGAAAAATTGTTATAGTAAGAAAACACTGAGAGCACCAGAAAAACCTGACCTGACAAAGATGGATATAACCTGATGGTGGGAGATTGAGAGAAAAGAAGAACAGAGGCAAAATATAAAGGCAGCTTTGTGAAGTGCTTCGGAAGAAGAAAGAAATAATGAAGTATGAAAAATTAACTTTTGCTCCTTTACACCAATTAATTATTAAGTTTTAGGAGCATAATATTCGTTATTCAGGAACAATCATTTCTTAACCCATCACCACTGGCGCTGTTAAAAGAGAATTAACAATTCTGGATTTATTTAAATATAATTGACATCTTTCAACACACTGAGATAATGCTCCAGCAATGCTTGCAAGATTCAACTCTGTATCCGTTCATCATTCTTATCAGTTCTGCGAAGGGAAACAATATGAACAGGCTACGATTAGTGTGGCATGTAGTGTTAAATATTTTCTCAAATGCAAGCAACCACTTTTATATTTCAAAACGATTATCACATCCACTCTCCTGACAGTTATTCACTCTTTTTCTGTCTTGAATCCTTGCGTGATGGTGATCAAAAGAGCTTAGTGTCTCATCTTTATCATGTTCTTTATACCTTAAATCAAAGGTAAGATTCATAGATTTAGCAAGAATATCATCTGCCATCTCTTCGCTCTAATTTCTGCTACTTAAGTTTTCTTTTCTTTTTAGAGAGTAAAAAGTTATGTCAGGGAACAATCAAGAAAAAGTGTTCTTGTTTGAAGACGCAAACCAAGTTCACACAGCATTGTTATATTTGCTCCAAATCCCTCTAAAAAGAACACCCAAGAAAGACTGTTTAAAATGAATGTAGTTCTGAGAAAGTTTATTTTAGTTTGTAATTGTCCCTGTGTGTTTCAATTTGGTGAAGTTAGTTTATTGCATTAATTATATTCTATAATGTGCCTTGCTTAAATAAATTTGCTTTATATAATACTTCACTTCATGACTGATTTTGATTACAGTTTACTATAAATAAAAATTATGAAGCTGCACATCATCATTATACATTATTACATGTATACAAGTAGTAGAACAAAATAACAAATATTTCACAATATTAATGTGCAAATCTGATTCATAATAAAACAAACAACATCAACTGTAGTAAGATAAAATCTAACATGCAAGTAATCACATTACAGAAAGATTCCCCGAGTAATGCAATTTAGCAGGATACAAAATTGGTATTATTAGTAATAAATTTATCATTTTTAATTATATTCAGTCGAAGCATAGAGAATAAGGTATTATCCGCACACGTTTTCTTGAGCCCATGCTTAGCTTGTTGCGAAAGGCGTAGCGAGTTTTGGTCATTACAACGAAAGGAATTTTCTATCAAATTTGTAGTACAGTTTTTTGATACGGGAGCGAACATTTCTGTTTATCAGATTTTGTCTATAACGCTCGTTGCTATCATTTATTCTTCATTCAACTTATGTGGGACTAGGAATGCCAGGGGTCAAGAAAACGTGCGCGTATGATTTTAAGGCAACTTTCATATCACAATAAATCATTAATTTGGCATAATTATTGGCATTATTTTCCCCAGTGAGAGCACTTTAATGACAAAAACTCACCTGAATTCGATCTTGTGGTTTCAAGGAGAGCTTTAGAAACAATTCGATCTTCACTCAGGTTTTTAACAAATGCTTCAATTTTACATCTAACATTGTCGCTTATGGATTCATATTCTTCCGTTGTAAGAACTTGTGGGCACAACGCAGATTCCACCAAACCGGTAGATGCCATCTTTATCTACATCAATATTCAATACACACAAAGAACACAAACACGCCAAAAACAATTTTCCATAAATTATTATGCACCGTACAATAAAATATGAGTAAACAATCAACTGCGTAGTTTAGCGTGCATCGCGAGACACCGGTTAAACTGCATTCGTAGTAGTTCGGCCCAATACAACTTGTTGTGAAGAGAAGACACAAAGAGAAGACACAAAATACTCTCGCTAGCAGACTGGCCACCATCAACAGCAAAAAATTAGACTACAGACAATATGAAATAGTATACACCAAACCAAATAGTATATACTCTTTGGTATACACAATAAAAATATTTAACAGTATCCCTTACATAAATTTCAATTAGTATTGAGATGGATTACAATTTTAAGACTATTTATGGGCAGAAACTTTATGTTCTTATTACATATGAAGACATCACAGTTAGTGAACATGATACTTTTCGACTTTTTCCGGAAATCGTTTATATACTTTTATTGCAAAACACACAGTTAAGTACTAAAAGTCAAATTTATTGCTTAATATTTTATAATAAATATATTATTTATAGAATGTACTTTTCTTATATCTTTCATTTTGCGCGAAGAAAAATTTCCGCTGCCTTTATAGACCTCTTGATGAATCATGGCTCTGTTTCCTTGAGAAGAGCAGCATGGTAATTTGATTATTAGATGTAAAACAGATTGAAATCATTGAAATTATTTCATTCTTCCAATATTTATTTTTGCTTTAGACACCCATTGAGTTATTATATACCTTTCTTTACTTCGCTTTTTCTATAGTGCCCGATGAGATACACGTATCTGTAACCAAAGAGTGTTGATTAAAGAGTGTATCTACACAGTATAACTGTATGGGTTTTATAGACACCGTTAACCACTTATAACTTATAACTGTGGTATCTATAAAAAGAAATATCAGGCCTGAGCCCACAGAGTATATCGTTAGTTTTCGATAAGAGTGTCACAACTCAGTTGGTGTTCTTGGGTTGCTGCCACGCTACGCTACACTTGTCAGTGCTCTACTTCCGAAATTCGCTGGTAGAGAGCAGTTGTGTCATTTTCGCGCGCTTGGAATCCATTGCTTTCTTTAAGGCTAAATGTACAGGATGTTAAGGTTGAATTTGTCGCTTTTTTGATGCCCAGTAGTACCCGAAAATAAATTTTGTGGCTCTTCAGATACCACTTAATACCGGAAATGCGAAATTTTCCCTCTTTGCGGCGGGTGACGATGAAGGGAACGACTGTTCGTCGCATATAGGTGCCACGGATCGACAACCTAACCGTGGTTACACAACTGTGGTGGACAGATAGAATCAGACGCGCAAAGTAAACGGAGATTTTCGGCCTCACATAAAAAGATGAAGATTCACAATTGTTATAATTGTAGGAGAATCAGACTTTGAAGTGATGGTAACAGTTTCATGAAATATAAAAAGGACGCGCATATACATTTTACTTTCGTTTTCTCCAATAAATCGTGATATTATTACAACGAAGCCCTTTCATTGCGTTCCTTTCATGCATTCAATTTCTCTGCGCGTCCAGCCGTTGCGAAGGATAGGGGTTTGCAGGCGCCAAGAAGGAATTCTCACAGCTGTGGCTTTACTGAGGCGGGCGCCAACAAATAGGAGTCATTGCTCCGAACAGCATATCCCTACGTTCAACAATATTTTGGATACCCGCAGTCTTACAAGGGTACATTCTGCCATTGCTTGAAAAAAAATCCCAGAATAGCCATCGCGCCTCTCCGAGATTCGGATTTGGAGGGTAGCAAAGAAAACAATTATTTTTTCTTATTTACATAAAAAACAGTCAAAAACTGTGTGTGGCGTGCTACGAGGAGAAGGCCAAACTTGCGGGACTTAATATGAAGTTACATGTATGCGCAGAAGTAAAACATGGCGCCATCTCAGCATTTGCTTAAAGATCAGGGAAACTAGACAAAAACCTGATCGAGATGGGGGTCATTGACTCAGAAGCTGAAGTACAATAATTGTTACAGGTAATTTAAAATTATCCAGTCCAAATGGTAAATATTACATTACACGTCAGTCTTAAAATGAATATTACTTCCCTTTTGGATGCTAATTATAGTCTCTAATTGTATAGAAATAGTTGTTCAGTAGAATAGATTTTTCTTGGGACTTAAACCTTTTTTAATCGAATTTAATCGATTAATATCATGTGGTAATAAGTCAAGTGTTGTAAAATAAAGTAACGAATATTCTATCACCTGCCGGAATCCGCTGCGCGGATTGCGTCATCTGTCGGCGCCTCCCCTTCCTCCCGAACTGGACGGTTCCGGGTTATTCGGGAGTCGCGTAGAAATGTGGAGCAAGTGCCGGTTGTGTCGAGACGAGCGCCGGCCGGGTATAAATTCGCTGCTGCCAGCGGCCGCTAATAGTAGTAGACAGAGTAGTAGTCAGCAGTCTGTCAGTGTCAGTAAGAAGTGGAAGTAGTAAGCAGTCAGTCCGTCAGTGTATGCAGTAGTCTGTCTGAAGTGGAAGCTGAGCTGTGTGCATTGGAATGAACTGTGGCGCAGTGGGTGAACAGCAGTCAGCAGTTCAGATGGGCAAATTTTGGCCGGTAGTGAATGACGACTTTATCCCTGATAGAAGCACAGAACGTTCAATTTCTGGGAGTAACAAACGTGCTGGTGTCTAACAGTGTCACTTCCATCCCATCCTCACCATCATAATCAGCAGCATCTAGTGCTTCATCCTCTTGCAGTAGTAACAGTTGCAGTGAATCATCTTCTGAAGACTGAGACTCAATTGGAGATACCACGTACATACCGCAAGAAGAAAACGAGTCGGATAGTAATGTAAGCGAACAAGATCAAGATGGTGCTGATAATATCAATGATATTACGAAGACTTATACATCAATTGCTTACAACATAGCTTCAGAGAGTGGGGCTACTTCCGCATTTACCATACCATCGTTGAGGAAACGTGATTCCAGTTTGTCAGGTAGAAACAAGCAAATTTTGACGAGTTCGCTAAAGAAGAGTCTGAAACGCAAATGTAATGTAGAAAAATGGCGCAGGGACGTATTGAAAGATGCCAGAAATTCTGGTAAGGATTACGAAATGCGAACAAAGGATAAAAGAGTAAGGGAAGAGAGAAAAATGAAGCTTCCGTGTTCAGAGAAATGTAGGCTAAAATGCTCGTCCCAGTTTAGTGAAGAAGACCGTTTGAATCTCTTTTCTGGATACTGGGCACTGGACAACATTGACAAGCAGAGACAATTCGTTGACACCAGTATGAAGGAGATTAAATCCGCATATACTTATGTGCGTGTTGGTGGAAAGAGACTTCAACTAAGAAATTATGTGGCGTTTTATTTTCATCAAAATGACAAACGTGTGAGGGTCTGCAAGCTATTCTTTATGAATACCTTCGACATAAACAATCATTCTATACGTAAAGTGGGGGAGAAACAAAATTAGTTTGTGAATGTTCTTATGGAAGAAGATAGACGAGGGAAGCATGGAAAAAACAGCCAATGACTGAGGAAAGTTTAACAAAAGGAATTAGAAAATTCACCAAAAATTGAGAGCCTTTATACCAGATCAAATTCATCCAGACACTTCATCGATGAGAGTAAGACCATTTCAGAAATTCATTAAGATTACGTGGCACACTGCCGAGAAAATAATGTTGGGGAATATGGGAACTATACATTGTTTTCTTGTTGTTTACTACTCAGTTTAACATTTCAATTTTGGTGCCAAAAAATATCAATGTAGTGTCTGCACTGCATACATCAATGCTGACGGAGAAGAAAAGATACAGTTGGAAGAAAAACACAATAAACACTTAGCTGAAATGGAACTCTCTCGTGATGAAAAGAGATCTGATAAAGAAGAGGTGACAGAATACACCATTGTGGCAGATTACGATTTGCAAGCAGTGATACAACTGCCGAAAGGAAACGTATCAGTCTTCTATTATAAATCGAAATTAAATGTACTGTAACGACTGACTCACCCAATTACCTGCTTTCCTTCGGCGATTCAGCTTTGCCCGGCTGCTTCGTTGGCAGACTCCCTAGAGGGAGGCATGCGTGGTTGCCTAACTACTGGATAGAAAAACTGAGGCATTTTCTTAAATATTACTTTAATGAATACTTGGTTCAATGCGAGTGAAGCCCAATGCCAGAAACAAAACTTGCAATTAACTTATAAACTAATCTTAACTTAAAAAAGGCTGGCATGGCCAGAGTTCATATCAGCTCCGTGGTTTTCGCCCTCCCGGGCGGTCGTGACCCAGCTTACAGGGGCGGCGTTCGGGCATTCCAGTGCCCGGCAGGTGTGGCGGCGGGCAGCCACGGTCGGTGCTTGCTCCCAGGTTTCTTTGTGGCGACCACTCGGCGGCCGCGGTGGTGGCCCACAGTCACCAGACGGTGACTGTAGGCCAGCGGCGTTCGTCGACCGGACGGCGCCTCGGCGTCGCTCGGCGCGGGCAAGCGGCAGGGCTGAAAGCCCAGGCTGATTCCAAAGACAAGTCAGCTCGCTCCGCCACTTCCAAAACAAGTGGCCGAGAGTCCTTCGGCGGTCCCTCAGGAAAGCTCGCGTGTCACGTGATTCCTCCCCCGCGTGTCACATCGCGATTGGTAGTCGCGGCTCCCGTGGTTTCTCCGTCTTATCACAGCATTAGCGGCAGAGCTGCGCCCAGGCAACTTTCGCCCAGGCAACAATTGCGCAGGGCAACAAAGAAATACATTTATAATTGCAGTGTATCTCTTAGCAGTCCAGTTCCTAAATGTGAAAAGTGTTACGCACAAATACATCGTTACAGGTCACACACAAAACGAAGGTGATTCAGCCCATTCCCTGATAGAAAGAAACGTAAAACGTCTATTGGAAAGTGGGTCTGTGTATACACCAGAAATATTTATTTCCGCGATTAGAACTTCAAGGTAAATCGGAGAACCATTCCACGTACATGAGATGTGCTACGATAATTTCTATGACATCAAGCAGTTATAGGTGGATATTGGCCCTATGAACATGGGAGGTATTAAATTTTCGGACGTAAAAATCAAAGTTCTGAAGGAATCAGCTCATTCAATATTTTACAAGATGTCTTATACAGATGCTACTTTCCAAGAAGCTACTGTCAATAAAAGGAAAAAGACATCATCTAACAATTCTAAGCATGATGTAATACTGACCCCTGCATTCACTGCTAAGCCAGGGATCTCCGAGAGAAAGAAAAGGGACCTGATAGATTTGTTGCACAATAATTTGATCCCGAAGTATTATCAACCTTCATGCAACAGCTTGTAAATTGTTAGTAAAGAGAGAGAAGTCTGAAAAAAAATGTTGTATAGTTTTTAATAATGTATCATTCCAATTAAATAAATAAAAACGAACATAAAATGCATGTTATTTATTTTTGTGGTAATACTCAGTCACAATTTAAAGTAAAAAACATTTAGTTTGATGACAATTATGTCCTATTCCAAAATAATAGTATTTAGCACAGTATTTAGCAGCAACAATGTCCGAAGTCTGACAGAGTAAAATACAGGACTGTACGGAGAGACCAAGCTATTTATTGAGTTATCTTGTGTACGCAACAAAGCTTAAACAAATCAAAACCTTTAAATGGCTCTCCTGAAAAGTTACATATTTTGAGTTGTGACAGCGTTGTCGCAAACAAACTGAAAGTCATGCTCACCCGCGGGTCGCACGGCAAGAGCAACGTCGAGGTTTTCTTGGTGGGGGAAAACCGTGTGCTCAGCATTGTGAAAGTTGGAGAGCACTAACGCTGCATTCGCTGTTGGTATTGCTTGTGAGTTTAGACTGCAATATTGTTTCATTCGAATTTTCTTGTTTCTATATTTATGTATTATTAAAGTTATAGTACTGCATTAGCAATATTGTGTTTACATGCGTAACACTAGTTATTTTACTTAGTTTTTGAAGTGTTGGTCGCGAATGGAATCGAAGTCTTGTGTGAACCCAGTGAGTGCATTTAATCATTAATAATTGCATCGAGAGAGAGAGATAGAGATAGAGTAGAGATAGGATAGAGATAGAGATAGAGAGATAGAGATAGGATAGAATGAGAATAGAGATAAGAAGAGATAGAGATAGAGATAGAGATAGAGATAGAGTAGGAGATAGAGAGATAGAGATATGAGATAGAGATAGAGGAGATAGAGATAGAGAGGATAGAGATAGAGATAGATAGAGAGGATAGAGATAGGTAGAGAGATAGAGATAGAGATAGAGATAGAGATTAGAGATAGAGAGATAGAGATAGAGATAGAGATAGAGATAGAGATAGAGATAGAATAGAGATAGAGATAGAGAGATAGAGATAGAGATAGAGAAGAGAGATAGGAAGAGATAGAGAGAATAGAGATAGAGATGAGAGATAGAGAGATAGACAGAGATAGAGAGATAGAGATAGGAGATGAGAATAGAGAGAGATAGAGAGAGAATAGAGAAGATGAGATAGAATAGAGAGAGAGATAGAGAGAGAAGAAGAGGAAGAGATAGAGGAGATAGAAGAGAGAGATAAGAGGAGATAGAGAGATAGAGAGAGATAGAGAGAGATAGAGAGAGATAGAGAGAGATAGAGAGAGAGATAGAGAGAGAGAGAAAGAGATAGATGAGAGAGAGATAGAAGAGATAGAGAGAGATAGAGAGAGATAGAAAGAGATAGAGAGATAAGAGAGAGATAGAGAGAGAGAATAGAGGAGAGAGGGGATAGAAGAGAGAGAATAGAGAGGGATTAGAGAGAAGCGATGAGAGAGATAGAGAGAGAAGAGATGAGATAGAGATAGAGAGAGAGAAAGAGAGAGAGATAGAGAGAGAGATAGAGAGAGAGAAAGCTAGGAGAGAGATAGAGAGAGATAGAGAAGATACGAGAGAGATAGAGAGAGATAGAGAGAGATAGCGAGAGATAGAGAGAGATAGAGAGAGATAGAGAGAGAAGATAGAGAGGACTAGAGAGATAGAGAGAGATAGAGAGAGATAGAAGAGAGAGAGAGAGAGAGAGAGAGATGTAAAAATGAACACCGTAGACGTATTAAACCACTTTTATTTCAGTAAATGAATTCAGTTTCTGGTTTCCTCCCTGTTTTAACCTGAATTTCGTGATGAAGCTCAGGACAACCCGCAGATCTTTTAGAAAAAAAGCGGCGTCTATTCACTATATTGCAATGACTGCGAAGCCAAATATATTGGTAAAACAGGCAGAACGTTTGACACCAAAATTAAAGAACATAATACACGTTTGGAAACACAAACCTGTAAATCTCACTTTGACAATCATTTACTCCAGACGGGCAACCCACACACATATTAGTCCTGAAAATAGAAAAACAATACCGTTCCAGATTACTTTTGGAAAACCTCCATATTCATTTAAATAAGAACTTATTGAATGAAAACATAAATCATAGCCCTTCTCCTCTACTAAAACTATTATTAGACACCACTGCCACATCGCGCTCTTCCGAGACGGCATAGTAGACAGCGCACCGCACCCAGGCCATTGCCCTCCTCCACCCCACGCGGTTGGCATTTTTTCATTATTAGAATAAGTTTCTTTTGCAATCTAAAAGTCTGAGTACTACATGATGAGTTCTCCAAAACTTTATACCATATCTCAGGCGGGAATGTACATTTGCAAGGAGCTGAATGAAGGATTTTATATAATTCAGAATTTTAAACCTAATGTAGTGTTTAATTTTGTTGTATGTATTTGAGGTCTGACAGACCTAGAAATTTTGTTACCTGAACATCACCTAATTGCATATTATTCATTTTCAATGAAGCACGTGATTGCTGATTTCAAATACAAAAATGCATTGAAACTGTTGTTCCTTCATTGACTATTAATTTATTACATATCCAATTTGAATCTTGTAAAATCGTGCTATTTATTGTTTCTTTTTTGCATAGAACATTCGTGTCATCAGCAAACAGAACCGTTCTTCCGTTTTTAATAGACGACGGCATATCGTTTACGTATAACAGAAAGAGGATAAGGTCAAGCCTTGCGGAACCCCATATTCAATTGGTAAAGAATTGAAAAGATGCGTAAATAATGTCCTCTCGTGCCCCTGCAGTCACAGGAGATGAGGAAGGAGGGGCGACAAATGTAGGTAAATCAATAATGGGAGATGTAGTACAAGGATTTATTTGAAGGGATAAGGTCTAAAGAGGTACCGGAGGATGGAAGAGAACTAAGAGACGTGGATGGGTGTTGGGCAAACACTGCCGAGGTTGTGAAAGGATGTGCTTTGCAAGCTCTCAACTGAGTACACGTTTTCCAACAAGGTTCAGGTGAAGACCTTGTCGGGTGAAGTGTTTTTCTGAAAGTTTAGCCCAAATAATTTAACTTGTGTGTCTCTCAGATGCAGTTTCAATTGGTTGTTTGCGTGTTTAATTTCTTTGCACTGCACAGTGTTGCTTTGTTGTACCAGAAGGGCAGAGTCGAGACTATAATGTTCGTGTTTTGGGCGGCACGTTATAGATTGTTAACATGTTGTTCAGGTGTGAAGTGACCACCCAAATTGATGTCATTCTACCCTCCTATGATGACTGTATCCCGTTTGGTGAGAGTTTTTGTGTGGGTGTCCAATTCACTGGTCACGTCGGCAAACCTCCCATAAGTTTAAACACACCCGTGACAGACAAATTGGATGGGAGTTTTCCACTGAGCCGGGAGGAAATTTGTCGCCCATAGATATCTGCTAAAATCAGTACCTTTTTGATGGCCTCAGTGGGAATGTCCTTGCTTTATTGTGGGCCAGGTTGCGCAACTCTACGTGTGTCTGTTCCTTTGCGCTTGCCAGCCTGTTTGTGTTGGTTTGTGGGTGGGAGTGTCGATGATAGGAGGGGTTAGTGAGGATTGGGAAGGGAAGGAAACTCAGTGACATAATCTAAAGCAAAAAAATTGTTTTCAGTAGTGATTAGTAGGGGTGATTGTGTTTTTGCTTTCGCGGATGGACGGTTGGAAGTAGAGAGTATATATCTTGAAAGTTTCTGCTGTGTTGCTTATTGTTGTCCAACAGTCTTTGCTTTGAGCGACCTCTCCGAGCCTTCGAATATGTTATTTACATTATTGTTTATATATGTGAAGGCTTTCAGAAGGTCGTCTTTGAGAGTGTATAGAGTAGAAAGTGTATAGCGAATAATAGCCATGTCGCGAATGCGTATCAAAGTGCGTGATAAATATGAGAATAAATAAATAAATGACTCAGACTAATGTAGAAAGTATCTCTAGAACAGTATCCTTTTAATTTAAGTCATTAAATTAAAGCCTTTTAAGTTAAGTTTAAGTATTAAATTATTTAATTTAAGTCTCGCATTTATTTGAAAAATTATAGGTATGTGATTTTAATTAGTATTTACATGATTGATGAGTTAAATGCGAAAGAATTTCAAGTGTTTAAAGTAATAGATTTAAGTTTCAAACTAATAAATACAATTAGATTACTAAACTTTACCTAAATTCTCCACTATAGGTCGGAAGATAGTCGTTTTTGTGGCTTCCATTCAGCAGACAAGTGATGATGGCTAAGCCATCGAAAGCTGCTCTTATAGTAAATACTATTGTTGGCAATGACAACGTTTATAATTATTTCATGAAAAATGCCAAAGATAACGCACCACAACAACTACATGCAAAGTACTGTTAAAAACGAATAAACTTTTTATTTATTCTCTTCGTCTGCATTTAAAGTATTTTAAGTATTTCTTTTTTTAAATACATCTATTTTATATATCGCTAAAATATGCTCCCAAAAAACTCCAAAATTCAGTTTTTAAAAACAACATGTGTTTAAAATATGTACTTCAAATGAAAGTGTTTAAATACTGCCCAACCCTGCTCATTACAAAACCAATAACATTTGGTGCAAAAACTAAATGTATTCCTACGTCAACTTCATGTACTCGAACAGCAATAGTAGAATAGTAGTGTAGTGGAATAAAGTAAAGTGAAGAGAAAGCAAAAATAGAATTAATATTGACATTTTCAATAGAAAATTATAATTAAAAGTAAATTCAATAATTTACTTATTGTTCATTCAATTTGTCTTGCATTCATTCGATTTGTCAATTTGTAGCTGGTGTATAGGTTAGCTGGTATATTTTATTAATTTCAAGCAGAAATCACGAAAAACTACCAAGTTTTTTCCAAAACTTGTTCATGGCATTTTTTGAAGAGCTAATTTTGTTCAACAGAGAGTTTACCTGAGGCAAAATTTCTTTGTTCAATTTTGCAATTTTGAATTTTTTTGTTGCAATTTCGAATAAAAACGAGAAAAACCTGATAATGACACTAACGCCATATTTCTTACAGTTTCTTATTACACAAATGGAGAAAATTTAAAGAAAAAAATTGGTGCGGTTTTTGCAAATTTCATTCGCAAAAACTAATCAATCTTTCAGAAAATTGTACAATATGTTTTTTGAAGTGCTAATTTAGTGCGCCACACGTTATTTAGAGCGCCACGAAAAATTTTTATTTTCATTTTTGTAATTTTATAATATTTTTTACCCGATAATGAGACTAACACCCTATTTTTTGCGACTATTATTACATAAGTGAAGAAAATTTAAAGAAAACATGTGGAGCAGTTTTCGACAACTTTTTTGTAAATTTGCCGGACATAGTATGTGTCTCGTCCTGACGCGGTTGTAGTAGACGCGAACATGCGAAAAGTTAAACAAATACCTTGATGTGGGCGTTCATATGGATTTCGTTTACGTGTGTGAGGGCCGTGTGAGTTACCGCGCTGGGTGCGCCGATGTCATAATGAGGACTTCAACTTTCAAAGCCATTTACAAACAAACGAAAAAAAAAATCCTCCAAAGCTACAGGTTAAAAAATAACCGGTACTAGTACATAGACATATAAAAAGATTTTGAGTTATACAGACTGTCCACGTTTTATTCCGATCTCTATTGTTCGAAGTCTCCGCACGCGTCCAATTAATATTTTTAATTAAGTTATTTATAAATATTGCAATTGAATAAAATTGAAAATATGTTATTTTTAAAATAATATTTAATTTTTGCGAAATTTGTCAACTTGCATTTTAAAAAATTAATTACGATTTAATGAATAATGACATTTAATCATGACATCCAAGTATAAATTATCTTAAATAACTGTGAACGTGTAAACGTAAATAATTTTGAGCTTTTAGTTGGGACTTATCTCAGTTCCATACGATCATTGAAGCAGGAGTAACAAGCATTTATTTGTTAGTGCGCGCACTTTTTCAGAAAATTGTATAATAGCATAAATTCCAAAATAATGAAGTTCAATTTTAACAAAACTATTTATGCCACTTATAGTTACCCTCCTCTTATAGTTACCCTCAGAACACATTCAAGAAGTTTCAATCAATTTTAAACAGCTAAGGTCAAAACGGTGATCAGCAACAATGGCCGTTGGATTGCGATGGCATACACATTTTCCAAATTAGTATTCTTGATAGCGTTAGTAACAAAATGTAAATAGATAGAAAATATTATCATTGAATAGAATATCGTTGTATTCATCAAAACTACTCGAATTCACACAAACTACTCTTAATTCCTGCACCTTACCATGCAAAGCAAAAATACCCATTCGTTTCCTCATTTAACTCAATGAAATGACGAAATTTAAAATAGAATTTATGCTTAAATAATATTAAAAGAGATTCTCAGAATATACAACTGTCTCTAAACACTTCTCAAATTACTTCACTGGAAGGGCGGATCGAGAAGCAGATTTTAGGAGGGGAAATTCAAAATGTTTTCGTGGAATATGCTATATTACATATTTTGTAAAATGTCGCAGGTTACATACTGCTCGTGCTGCGATACAATTTTATTCGTTTTAATGAAAATGTGAAAATATTATTGTTTGAAAGTCTCGTGACAAGTTAAAATTAATAGTCGCTGAAAAAGTGAATGTGCCTCGAATCCGCGGGAAATTCCATGTTACCATTTTGAATTCATTTCATTTCATTCCTCATTTCATTTTTTTTAGTTTTTATTATTTATTTATTTATTTATTTATTTATTTATTTATTTATTTATTTATTTATTTATTTATTTATTTATGTAGTTAGTTATTTACTAATAGAATGGCAGCAGCGACAATATAAACATATCCATGTTTGTACATATTTGTATTATTTTCATTATATATATTTGTATGAGATAACTGAGGAAAACAATAATATGTAATACATAATGAACCTATATAATGGATTACAAAACAAAAGAAAAAGGAGAGAAGAAAAAGTTGTAGAAAGATTCACTAATCTCGCAAAGAAATATTTATCCAAGTAGGTTGCAAATAAAGTTATTGAAACACGAACTGCTGGTAAATTGTCCCATGCGCTGGCCACTGTTTTTCAAGAAATTGTGTCGTTGCATGGTTCTAGTCCGCTCCCTTCTAATTTTTAAGCTGTTTCCTCCAAGTCGTTCGTACGGACTCCTTTCAAAAAATCTTCGAAATTTTGGGCGTCAAAAGGTGACAGAAACCTTATTCAAGATTTTGTAAGTCTTGATGAGACCCCTTCTTTGTCTTCTCAACTCCAATGACGTATTGGACATCTCATGGCATCTTTCTTCTCTCATGGAATGGTTTCACTATCCAAGTACTGAAGATCTTCAGAAATTTTGTTGATCTCCTTTGAATTTCCTCTAGCGAGTCTATATATTTTTTATAATATGGAGGCCAAACTGTGCTGGCATATTCCACAATTAGTGTCAGATATGTCATGTAGATCTTAACTAATGGAGATTTCAGTTTGGAGAAAACTCTTTTTATAAGTCAGTGTGTGAAATTTGCCTTTCTGGTAACGTCCGTTGTTTGGGTTTCCCATTTTATATCCTGTCTCACAGCTACTCCTAAAACATTTTGTTTTGTTGTGACCACTAATGTTTGTCCCTGTATCTTATAATGGAATCTAGGGTTGTTTCTTCCCGAGTGAGGGATCAGCGGAAGCGGCCACATATTTGACCATTCATCAATACTATTCAGATCTCTCTGAATTTCAGCATGAAATAATATTGGGTTTCCATAATGCTTGGTATCATCATTATAAGAGATCCAGCTTGATTTCAAATATCTTCCCAAGTCCTACATAGAACAAATAAGGGAACCGATCCTTGAGGAACGCCACTGATGATTGGTGTAGGTCTGGAGAATGCATCACCAATACGCACTTTGAACGATGTTTGTCAAGTATTTCTGGATCTAGCGAAGTAATTTTCTCCTGATTCCTATGAACTCGTTTCGTTATCAGCCTCTTAATAATATATGACATCCATGGGCTTTCCTTCACCAATAGCCTTAGTCTAATCATGTAGGGTGCTAAGTGCGTTACTCTTGGTTGATTTTAAAGAAATTAAGTCATGATGTTGTTGAGGGACAATTTCATTATCAAGAGCGTATTTCATTAAATTACTTGCCACCAGTCTCTCCATTACTTTTCCTACATTACTAATTAAACTAACTAGTTAATTGACAATTGCATAACGCCTTTTTTACAAATTGGTGTTACTATATCTGACTTCCATTGCTGAGAAACTGTACCTGTGTCTAATGGTTTTCTGAAGATCTTTGTCAGGGAGGGGGCGAGTTGTGAAGCACATCTTTTCAAGTAAACTGTAGAATTGCATCTGGTCTCGCTGCCGGATGTTCGCGAAGTCCACACATTGTCTGAGCGACAGTAACACATGAGATATTTATGGGCCGGTTTCACCAACCACGATCATATTCTAGTTGATACTAGTTTCATGATTCTGATCAGCGGAGTCAAGGCCGATTTGATCCTTGTGCGTTTCACCAACGTTTTGAGACTGAAGTTAATCCGGATCCCATGATTCACGAACAGTCGTGAAAATGCGCGGTTGGCAACAATTTTGCAATGTATTGTGAGTATTCTCGAGGTCAGCTGTAGGAAACGAGGTGTTTTGATTTCATTTCGTTCCGCCTTTGTATGGTGTTCGGTTGAGTGTGATAGTATTCTTGTTTGGTGATAGATTCAACTAAGGTTGGAAAGAATGCATACGGCACCCAATTTCTCTCCAGTTGAAAGAGAATTACTCAAAAGCTTAATGAGCATATACAAAGAAAGTTTTAATGCTCGTTCTGACATTTCAAAATAATCGCTTCCTTTGGGAATTACTCGTGGTGCCCCTCTTCACAATAAATCTTCAATGACTTCATCACCGAAAACAAATTCCATTTTTACAACACAAATTAACCTAACAAGAAGAAAAATTCAAAGTATTACTACACTAAAAAAGTATCAAATAAAACTATCCCACGCCAATTGCAATACAGATATCACAAAAATCAGATAGAACTGCGAAAAAATAGCGCCTTCAATAAACTACAACTAACAAAATGCTATTTTACTAATGATACTTACACTTACACTAATTTGAAGACAAAATATATTTAAATTTTACTTACCAATACCGAAAATTCTAACCTACACTTGTGTTATTTACAATACTATCTTAAAAAACACATTTTCTCAACAAATATTACGCGCAATCATTCTTGTTAGCTAATACTTCCATATTGAATCTAAGCCCAACTACAGGTATTTACTTAAAAAATACCGAAAACTGAAATAGATGACCAATCCGAGAAATAACTCCTGATCTGACCTTGATCCCCCGCTCGGCGACGGATAAATTGCACGTCAAATTTGATCCGAGTCAGACACGTTGATTCGTTTCAAGTGAGTGGAGAAACGTACAACGAGATCAAACTGAAGTTGATCCGGATCAACTCGGGATCATCTTCTTGATTCCGCTTGGTGAAACCGACTCTATATCTTCTATGCGTAGGATTTTCTTCAAATTGAAGAAATCTCTGTCCATTTGGCCCGGGTCGAAGCTTTGCGATTTTGAAAAACATTCTTTAAAATTTGGAGGTACTTTACATGTAGCCCTCCTGACATTTTCAATTTTTTTTAATCAAAAACGGCTTCAAATTGTTTCTTCAAATTTCTTGCAAGAATAGAGTAACATACAGTTTTGAAAGTGGTATAGGTCCAATTTATATTATTACATCTAAATTTTCGAAAATTTCAAATTTATGAATTTTTGTCGGTGTCAACTACAAAATTAATTTTTTCTTCTAGTGAAATTTGCTGTCCATAGTTATTTTATTAATGTCAGGTACATTTTTTTAAAAGTTTAGTTTTCGCGCAATATTACGTGCAATATTTGCAATTTTAAAAATAAAAAAACGGTTTTCTCAAAAACGGCTTCAATTTTTTAAAAACTTTTACTAGCGTTAGAGCTAAATGCATTTTATAAGATGACTGAACGCCATATTGCTCTATTATTTTATTTCTTCAAAAATTACAAAAGTGTTACTTTTTTTACTTTCCTTTTACATCGTTAATATTTGCATTAGAGGCAATTCCTATAAATAACATATTTATGAGCACAAGTAGTATAAATAATGTCAAAGTTTCCCAAAAACTCAATAAAGTTCCGTGAAAAAGAGCTCCAAATTCCGCATTATCAGAAACGCTCCAACGCCATTTCCTTGAAAACGGTCCCAATTTTTTTCATCAAACGTTTCTAACATAGTGCTAATTGCACTGTTTAAGATGACATAGAATTAATTTCGCTGAATTCATTAGGTTTTTTCAAAAATTACACAAATGTAATTTATGTCAAAGATCCTTCACGCCTTCAAATATGCATTATTGCAGCGATATGTAAACACTATTGCGTAAGTGACAAAGGGCTTGAAATGACGTCATTTGAAGTTTTTCGAAAACTCAATAGTTTTTTCTGAAACGAGGTTCTAATTTCGAATTTATAGTAGCGCTTAAATGTTATTTTCTTAAAAATGGCTCCAAATTTATCAATGAAAATTGCCATTTAGGACAAGGTTTTACTGTTATTTAATATTTAAAAAATTTGCGTTCTATTATTAGGATACCGAATTACGAAAATTTCAAAACAATGTTCTTTGTGCGGCGATAGATGGCAGATGGCAAGGTTATGTGGCAAGTCTGAATAGGTAGCTGAGACCAAAGGAAACAGAAAACAAATACGGGTATGTCTGCGCGAATCTGTGGAACTACGAGTTCACATTTGTAGGAAGGAACGATAATGTGGTGCTTATCCCATTTCCGGCGCACTCTTAGTATTTTCAAAAAAAAATTAAAATAATTAGATCACGTGACGTGACGTTTTGGTGCCAATCAGATTTTGGAAACAAGAACCCACAAAACATCGATTATGACTACTCAACATGTTATAGAAAGTATTCTACTATTTTCTATTCTAACGCAAGCTGTAGACGTCGTTCGAATGCTCTTATCGAGCTTTGTAATCTCAGGGAGGCAGGGACTTTTGGGTGTGAGAAAGTTATCCCCAAGCCACAGAAATGCGCAAATCAGTGCGTATATTCTTCCAAGAATAACACCAGTTACAAAGACGCTGAACTAATACTAAATGGCCACTAACACTCAAATATATCAGAAAAAATAAAATTACCATTTATAACGCTTTGAAAATTACCAACACTCCTTTAATATTTTAACTAGTTAATATTTCATCATTAATTGCCTTCTAGTAATACCCATGCACGGTAGTTACTTGTTCAATTACAACACAAAATGAAATTGCTTTTTTTCTGCCAAATTTCCTTAGCTCAAAGATTGCTCGCAACAAAATTAACACACTCACTTATTATTTTACTCAACTATTTACAATGACTTTCCTTGGAGTATGAAACATAAATGAAATGTATTACACGGTTTACAGGGTTCCCTTTTTCTGTTTCCTCATGAAACATGGACCGCGACGAAGTCTACTTGATAATGCAAATTTTTGTTAGAATTCAGTATTTCATCCGCTGCGCTAGCGTGCTCGTAGCTCCCCTGCCCTAGACTCCCGTTACATATTGTTACCTTTTTCTGTCACGCTCTCAGCAGTGGACAGCGCCGACCTCGGTTCCCTTTCCACGTGCGCCTGACACTGCTCTCGCACCGTCGCTCCTCTCCCGACAAGACGTCGCCCGAAATCCGCTGTCTTCGTGCTGCTGCCCACGGAACCCATCATGTCCACTCTTCTTTCTTCGCTTCCAGCACCAGAATACCCTTCCAGTCTTCTCTCTTCGCTACTCTTGACTCGTGGCACGCCAACGCGTGATACACAGTCTTATGATACACGCGTAATGCAAACAGCGTATTTCGGCGTCTTTCAACACTTTTTGCTTGCATTGTTAAGTATAAAGTTCTATGAACGCCTCGTGATAATTCGTGACCCTCGGTCTCACGGCTGCTACTCTTTCTCGTCCTAAATCATTCTAATAATTCACTCAGTTCAATTAAACTGCCAAGTAAATATTGTTTAACTGAATAACTTTTCGCCGCTCTATATCTCACTCCTGAATATATCCTTACTCACCTCTCTTTCTAAACAAAGTGTCTTCTGTGGCGTCATATCAGTCGCCTTGTACAAACGTACCAAATATCAGCCACGTGCATTTCATGCTCATGGACAGCGCTGGCGGGAAGAGACGCCGGGCTGAACAATGGCAAACCTAGGGAGCGCAAGGGATGGGGTGCCGTGTCGTGGGATACCACATGTGAACCCCTTTTACCACTTGGGGCAAACTTGGGAACCCCGTAGACGTGCTAGTTGCGGAAATGCGTCGGCGGAAACAGCGAGATGACACAGTTCCGTCAGCCGGCCCAGAAGGTTATATAAACGGATCCCGGACCTAAACTCCTTCTTCTGATTCTTGGGCGCGTCGGTAGGAAGTCGTGTGAGTTGTGCGCGGCGCTGCATTTCGATGCGTAGGCTACTGAGGCAGGGAACTGAAGCCGGCGTGCTACGTCGAGACGGGAGGTGCGGCATACTCGCTTGTATGCTCACGTAGGTTACTGGTGCATCACACCGAATAAGATACCTAATTATCAGGCCAGCGGTGGTGGTAACCAGGAACATTCCTTCTAGTAACGGGTCAATATTGTTTATTGTAATTGTTGTACATAGTATTCAGGTGTTGGAGCATTTTTTCAAATAAATGCTCAATAAATTATAAACCGTTCACGTCTGTGATTTATTGCCCCGGCAAAGACGCCACAGACGTAGGAGGGATAGAATGGTGGCAGCGGTTCAGGAACTACCACGCAAGTGTAGTGTATGTAGCTTGATAAGCTTCGTTAAACGAAAGCCGTCTCAAGCATTGAGTGAAGGACTCGATATCAAGTTCCTTCCTCAGTGCTTTCAACCGTTTCCGAAACGGAGGGCGTGCTATGAGCCGTACAACTTTGTTCTGTACCAGCTCAAGTGTATCCCTGTACTTCTGTGCTGTAGTCCACCACGTTGCCGCAGCGTATGTGGCCACAGGCCGGCAACACGTTTTATAGAGTGCTATGGGAAGTTCCAAGGGGAGTGTAGGTTCCCTCAAAAGATGTTGTATAGTCGAATTCTTTATTGTAATTTTGATCGAAGTCGCCTGACGTGTAAATGCCAGCGCAGGCTTCGATCAAAAGGGACGCCTAAGTAGGTTGCATTAGGTGCCTATGTTAGTTTTTGTGAACCAAGTGTAATTTGTTTAATTGGTGTAAAATGTTTGGTGTAAATGTGTTTACGGCGGGTGTAACAGATGGCCTATGACTTTACCGCAGAGAAAGTCAAGTGGTTTTGTTCCGCCCACTTCAGCGTCAAGTTCATCTGTTTTTGAAGTATTTTGAGTTTGTGATGTAGGTTTATTCCTCTCGCTAAGACGGCATTGTCATCAGCGTAAAGGAATAGTCTTAATCGTGGTATTTGCGGTATGTCATTGACATAGAGCGAGAACAATAACGGAGAGAGGACCTGAGGGACTCCAGCCGCAATCATCCGCTTTGAGGATCTCGCTTTGCCCACTTTTATCAAGAATGTGCGGTTTGTGAGGAAAGATGTAATCATTTCGGTTACATCTTAAGGAAGGCAGCGACGAAGTTTGGAGATGAGTGTGCTGTGTGTCACTTTGTCAAAGGCATGTACCATGTCGAGATATATGTCAGGTACATCCTGTGCGAGTAACAGATCAACGGATATCTGCTGAGCCATGCAAAGTGCTTGTAGTGATGCGGAATGGCCCGTTCTGAAGGCAAAGTTTGGCAGTCCAGCCGCGGGCCGCAGATAACAGGTCGCGCTGTTTCGTCCCCTTAGTATTGACTGCGTTGCGAGAACCCGTTTCGGCGCCGCCTATGCAGAGTGGGTGCTGTAGGGTTCTGAGCATGGCTCAAACGCCACAATAGAGGAAATTTATCCCCTTTTTGGGTAACAGGGAACAGCAAGAAGTTTGTCGAAATTTGAGTTGAAAGTCTGTCGAAAACGAGAAATTTTAGCTTCATTTCTGCTTGAAGTAACATTTCATAAAAAATATATTTTTCTCAAAAGCAGCAGTTTTTAAATATTTTCCTAGAATAGAGTAAAATTCGTTTTTAAATGGTCTAGGGTCGTTTTCGTTGAACTCTGAATTTTCTAAAATTGTAAAAGTTAGATATAATTAAAGAAAGCATATGTTGTAGCACCACTAAATATTTCTAGCCTTCACTATACCTCAGCATATTAAAGTATAAGATACTATCATGTTAAAAAACAAATTTCAAATTTTGAGATCTTTTTTAATTTAAATCTTTTTTAATCCCAAAATTAAAATTTGCTATAATATAACCCTTTTAGCCTAACAGTCATTGATTATCTAAGCTGAGTAATGGAAGGATTCTGTTCCCAAGCACTCTGGAACATGCACAATCAAATAAAAGAAAAAAAATCTCGTTGAAATTGACAATTTTTCATTTTTATTTATATTGAAATCGAAGAGTAACTTATTCAAATGTTAAAGGAAATAGAGGTAATTTTAAAAGCATTTTATAAGAGGTTTCATACGGAACGGGAAGATTAATCTTTCTTAAAGCTGCGTTTCAGGGTGCTAAACGTTTGACGTGGTGGTGGTTTTGCATGGAACACTTCCGATCCTTCTATGATGTAGTGTTCTGCAGAGATCCCATGACGTACAATGTACATAAAGGCTTGGCCAGTTGCACCAATCCTGCAAATATATTCATAAACAGATGACAAATTGTTGGAAAGACTTACGTTTTATCATAAGCAATTAGAGACTTGTTTCTAGCGTATCCCAAAAAATTAGAAGTCAAGAAAGTTGGTAGAACAAGTCATACGCCTCTATTTTTAAAATGTAGTTTAAATCCTTTACACGTCTTAATTACAACTTTTCCTTTCCTTTATACATCTTAATTACAACCAATCCTTTACAACTTGGTACAACTTACTCTCTATTGCTATCCAAATGTATGTTCCATGTCTTGCATTCTTCCTACACAGACGATTGAAATGCTCAAATGCTATTAGTCTACTAGTAAGAGACGGCAGTGTCGCGAGGCACTCTACCGCCTCCTTCTGCGTCTCATAACGAAAAATTCAGTAGTCACTCTCTGTGCATCACGCAAGCCACTGGCTGTGCGCTCTACGAAGATATACGCCGTTTCGCAGTAATTATGGCTTCAGTTAATTATTTTGTGCGCTCACAAGGCTACACGCTGTTACGCAGTGCTTTGCCTTTTGATATAATTCACACCATTTGAACAGATTGTTGTGTGTTAATTACTTCATTGTGGTGTGATGTACAATTTCAGACACGGTTGCTCTCTGCAACCGTGAACTATAAACTGTTTTCTCCTAATATGTATGTTATGCACGTGCACGTCGTCAATTGATGAACTAGTGCATTTCATGCCAATGCTTAACCGACTGTAACAGGTCAATCACATATAACTGTGATGTGTGGGGCGTGCAATTGCAATAAGGTCATTGGCAACAAGTATTTGTGGACTCAGGCCATTTTGGCTTTAAAAGAGTGTGACATTAGGTTTTTATGTATTGTACTGTGTTCAACCCACAATACTGTCAGTGTGTGCTGATGATTGCATGCAGCGCCGCTAATTGCAATGTCGAAATAATTCAAGTTGGAATAATTAGTGCTTCCTCACGTTTCCTCCCATCCGTGCGAGGCTACTACACGGTAACGCCATTTCCCGGCGAAACTCTTCCGTTGCGGAGCACCATGCTCCTTGCGCCCTCCGCGAGGCTATAGCGTCGCGCGACGAGTTGAACGATCTCTGCCTCATGAGGCACATTTGGCGCAATTTCTGTGCCACTACAATGTCGCAGCCGGTCTACGCACTGCTCAACCTGTGACGTCATCCACGCGTCGCTACACTTGACATCAAGCTTAATGGGCTGTTATTTTATCTGTTTTTTCATTGTACGTTATTTTAGATCAGAAACCGCCGCAGTAGTACTGGGTTTATTGCCATTGTCAATTATGATCCAATTAAATATTTTCTTTAGTTAGATTTCAAATTTTAGTTAGATGCAATAACACCTACGGAGTAATTGCTATGAATTATCTTCTCTCACAAGAGAGTATTTTTATTAATTTCATTTTGCTTGTAACTTTCAGTTAATATTTAATTATACGTCTTAAATTTATCTGCACTCAGAGATTTCCCTGCTAAAACATCTGCAATTATTCAACTTTAAGAAAAGGTTTGCATATTAACCTCAAAATATACTGGTCTTTCGTTAAGCTATCTAAAGGTTAGTATTAGGCTGCTGAATTGACAGCTAATCCACTTCCAGTCCACAGCTAAAAAAGCAGCTCCATAACAAAAGTTTTCGAAGGAATATTGCATAAGAGAAGAAATTATAAAAAGAGGCATTTTCAGTATGAAGTTCAAAAGAGAAAAGAATTCCTGTTGAAAGTAATCCGAGTAAAAAAAGAAATAATGACAAGTGAAGCTGTGGGGGAAGAACAGGAAGAAAAAACACTGAAAGATGAAATATTATTCGAATTGATAGTCTCGAGATAGATTTAATGAAATAAAGATTGGAAATATTTTCATATTTGACCCCTTCACGTCTAGGAAAAATCTCTTTGAATTTTCAGTCGATTAAGAATTGTAACTGCAGAAACTGCACAGGCAGAATAAATATTACACGAAACAACTTGCAGCAAATTTCCTACAAATTAAGAATTTGATAAAAAGCTAAGGAATGGTTCCAAATCCTTGACATACAATACGTAGGTTTCTATTTTTTTTACAGAAAGAAGTCTTATTTTTAAGTTAATATTCCGATACATTTGGTATTCCTTGCCTCAAAAACCATTCGTAGCCATCCCAGTTCTCACATCACATTTGTCCTTTTCGTTTCATTTTGAGCAATCAATCAACAAAAATTGTTCTCAGAATTCTGCACTACAAAATGGTAATCGCTATCCTGTTTCAGAGTGCAATAGTTAAGATTTAACGGTCGATCAAATTGTTACACGAATTCTTTGCATATTTTATCATCTTGGTAAGGTAATGAGGCGTTTGCTATAAGAAACTAGCTCGTATCATTATTTTGCAAAATTCAATTTTTTGCATTTTGTTAAGTCTACATGATATTTTATTACTTCACGAAGGAATAAGGAGCACATAAACCTCATTTACCATCGAAAATGCAGTATGAAAGTACGAATGTTTTTTTTATCAACCGTGTAAGGATAACAGATCTTTCTTCTTGCAACAATTTTGAAAAAGTAATGAGTTGATTTCGTCAGCAAACGCTTCAATTTCGACATTACAAGGTTTTTTGAGAAACATGGCCAAGGAGATATAAACGTAACACCAATATTTTGGATTTCTATGTAACAAAGTTGGAAGCCTGGAGGCTTGACTTACTCTTGCTGTGGAAGCTGAGACAGCTGTCGAGCTGTTTCTTCGCCCCATTCGCCCATGTACTGTCGTCCCTTCGCTCCAGTTACTAGCTCAGTATTGGTCACACCAGGGCAAATAGAGCACACACGTATACACGTGCGCTTGTAATGGAACTCGGCCTGAATACATGAGAAATTGAAAATCTATCAGTAGTATTTGGATAATACACATCGAATCAGGTGTATTTTATCAATTTAAATGAAGTGAATTTAGGGGGGGCCCAGGTTTGTCTTTTTTCAGTGGAATTCGTTAAGTAACAATTAAGGACATATGGACAATTCACTTCCTGAATTTTTTACAATAGAATTGAATTGATTACACATCCAATAATATGTAGATTACGATTTAAGAGCACAAGAACGGACATACATAGAGGCGCTTGCAGGGGGCCGTCGTACCTCCGGGAGTGTTTAAAGAGACCCTAGCCTTACTTTATAAAACAGTTGGTTTTCTTATAAATGTTCAATCCTTGATTTTCCCCTTTTTAAACCTGAAGATTTGGGAAATTTTTGTACATTTGAATAAGTGGACCTTCAACTGATCTGGCTACAGTGTAAAGAGTGAAGTATAAATTCAATTGTATTTATTAAACTATCATTAAAATTATAATATCCTTCTCCATGTAGTTTTTCTCCTTTGCTAATAAAATGCTTGCGAGAGTAAAACAAATCTCTGTGGTAAGTCGTTCACACGAAACAAACAACTGAGTCTGGAAGGAGGTAGGGGAGAGAGGGTTGTTGCGTTAACACGGATAGAATTTGCATTGAATCTATGGGGTGTTATGTGATAAATGAAGATCATACTGCTGATGGGAAGTTTCTAAGATTAGAGAGAGAAGATGAATCGTTTCTTGTTTCACTATTATCAGAGGTAATTTTTTTATTTATCAGATACCACCTCACGTCACTCTAGTACTTAAGATGAATCTTTGCTAGGCATTTTGAAGGCTTTGATGAAATAACTCAAAAGTTTTCTGTGAAAGTTAGCTCACATTTCCGCAGTTTCTGATGCGCTATTTTCTCAAAAGCGGCCAGAATTTGTTTCTTCAAACTTTTTGTACCAATAGTACTAAATGAACTGTATAAAATGACAAATATTCTTTTGTTGTTCCAAAACTTACGTAAATGTATTTTTTTTTAAATATCTCTCTCGCCGTTGATATGCACATTTTCAGCGATTTACATACATTATTACATTTGTGAGTAGAACTGCCAATAAAGGTTTTAAAAAACTCAAAAGTTTTCTGTTTCAAATTCAGCATTTCAGTGCTTTAGGAGCTTCAAATTTCACATTTACAGTGATGCTTATACGAAATTTAAAAAAACAAACAAAAAAACGGTTCATAGAAAAATGTCTCCTAGGATAAGGTTCTATAATGGTATTAAGGTTCTTAAAGAAACATTTTGGTAATACCATTAGCAAACTCAAAAATCGATTTTTTAAAACAAATGTCCTTTCGGTAACGATAGATAGCAGCCAGCAATAGAATAGGGCAAGGCCGAAAAGCTAACCCAAACCAAACACATTGCAAAACTAACAAGTAAGAAAGTCTTTTTGTAGCACCATTAGTTTAAATCTGCAAAGCCTGCATAAATCTGCAATATGTCTTCCAGAAACTGCAAATAAAGTTTTCAAGTCTATTTCTTTGTAAACTCAGATTTAAAAATTGAGGGAATCTACTTGTCTCTTCCTACGATACTTCGTATCACTTTGAGAGCGTAGGCTTCCGCGGCCGGAGTCAGTATTTACTAGGCTGTCGGAGTCAGTATTTACTAGGCTGTCCGGGTGACGCCGCGTCCATGGCGAAGGTGCCGACGTTTCGGTCGCCATTCTGCGACCTTCCTCCATGGACGCGGCGTCACCCGGACAGCCTAGTAAATACTTCGTATCACTTTCCTAAACTGTTCCTTTTTCCTTTCCTAGAAGGAGGGAGTATTCTTCTCTTTATCAAAATTTTAGCATGAGCGCAGCAGAATGGTTTTCCCCACAATGTTTATTTATATAAATAACAGACGCAGATAGGAAATAGAAATAGTTACGATGGGAACAGATGTTCATATACTAAGATATTTGACGCATTTAAACATTTTGCTTTTGAATTTGACACAATATAATACTGTCAACTGACTGAGTTTGTATTCCGATTCTGATCAATCTATCAGGGAGACGTATATTCTACAAAAATATTGAATTGAAACTTAACCTGATATTATTTACATACCCCTAAAGCTTTAGTGATTCCAATAACAGCATGTTTTGTACAATTGTAGACAGGGCAACCGGCACAAGCATCGAAGCCAAGAATGGAAGCATTGTTCACTACGACACCGCCCTTTCCTCCTTCTTGGTCCTTGCCCATGTATTTGAAAGCCAAGAAACAACCTAAAAGAACACCCTTAATATTGACATCTACAGTCTGAGACCATTTCTTGTCTTCTAGCATGCCGGCATTATTGAATAATATGTCCGGGTATCCGAAAATTCTTCTTGTTTCTGTGAAAAGATCTGAAACATTCAGAAAACACAGTTATTCAGAGCAATTTTCTTGAGAATATAATGGTAAAAAATTATATGAATTCGTTACTAATATTAAATATACAACTATTTTTTTGATATTATTTAAACTGCAATTGACCAAATATTTACAAATAAAGGTTATATTAATATTAAAAACTAATTTTATTCTAATTTAAAATATTTTTATGTTTATTTCGCATATCTGTTATAATATATTTTAATTTGCATTTTTTCAATACATTCATACAATACACATTGAGTTCAGTTCCCAAACATTAAACTTACTGTCGAAATCACATTCATTGGTAACATCACAATCCATAAAATGAGCCCGATCTTTGCCAAATTTTCCATTTAACTTGTGAATGGCGTCTTGGCCTTCTTGGCGATTGATACCTCCAATGATGACATGCTGCATTAGAAGAGAAACAAATAATTTAATCTGCATTGTTTAATTAGACTTACAGTGATTAATGGAAATTTAGGAATATTTTTAAATGTATTTTACAATAATAATAATAATAATAATAATAATATATACATAATAATAATATATATAATTATAATAATTATATAATAATAATAGATTAATAATAATAAGCATACAACTGAGAGCACTAGCAGTGATGGCTGCACAATTATTGGCCCAAAAAATGTACAGCACTCACCATCAAATAATTAACATAATTCAATCTTTTCTTCAAAACCCAGAATATCTACCTACTCCTCACTGAAGGTAGAACCTTACTTCCTCATCTAGAAGGTTCTGTTATCAAAGGAAGGTGACACTAAAGACCCCTCGAAGTACAGGGCCTATAACCTGTCTTCAAACTTCTACAAACTCTATAATCATGTGTTACACAAATTATGACACACATGAGGAACAGAACATTCTAGCAAATCAACAGAAAGGATGTAGACCTGCGATCTCAGGATGCAAGGAGCAACTCATTATAGACTGTAATTGGTGGAGGCAATCTGCTTGAGAAAAACAACAAGGCTTGTACGCATCTACATATATTATGGCGCAAGCTTTGGACACGGTGCCCCATTCTTATCTCCTTCAATGTTTGGATGCATACAAGGTCCACCCGTTTATCCAATACTTTCTGAAAATGGTTATGAGTAGATGGAATACAAAACTGTATCTCTCTAATGGAAAGCAATCCGTTCACACAGATTCTATACACATTCGCCGAGGGATTTTCCAGGGTGACTCTTTAAGCTCTTTATTGTTCTGCTTTGCCTTGTCTACTCTACTAAATTCATTTAGTAATGGCATCGCTCTTAAAAACGGGAACTCAACTCTTCTTCGTGTCTCGCATCTTCTTTACATGGATGACCTGAAGCTATATGCAGACACTGAGAGTCAAATGCGGCAACTAATAAACGTGACGGAGAAGTTCACTGACGACATCAAGATTAAATTCGGTTTGGATAAGTGCAGGAGTGTGAATATCATCCGGGGTCATATGCAAGTTATAAATTTGGAAAATGATAATGAACCGAAGATTACCTTCATGGAACCCCATGAAACTTACAAATACTTGGGTTTCCAACAGTCACTCCGAATCAAACACACTCTTACTAAGAACATACTAACAACTGAAATGTGTAAACGATTGCATGGACTTTTAAAAACTCAACTCACTGCTAGAAACCTTGTGCAGGCCATCAATTCCTTTGTAATTCCAGTGCTAACATATGGCGTTATTAAATGGAGCAATACCGACCTCGACAAGGACAATTCGAACCGCTATGTCTCAACACCGAAAACATCATCCCCATTCAACTACTGAGCGTTTTACCCTTCTAAGATCGCAAGGAGGGCGAGGTATTGTAGATCTCATAAATCTACACAGCTCTCAAATTGCTTCACTCAGAAGATACTTCCTGGAACATTGTGGGAGAGTTCAGCAAGCAGTGAGCGCAGTTGATAATAATCCTCTATAGTCCTCTGAACTTGAAAAATCTTGATCCGCCTGTTCAGCCAATCACTGAAACGGAAGAGAAGATAACCTCATGGAAAGCGAAGGCACTGTACGGAAGGTACCCCCATGAGCTGAGTAAACCAGAAGTCGACATCTCTGCGTCGCACGCATGGCTCCAGCACAGGGATATCTTTCCGGAGACAGAAGCCTTCATGATAGCTATCCAGGACCAAGTGGTGCCAACATTGAACTACAGAAAACACATTCTAAGAAATTCTACCATCCATTCCGATTCTGTAGAATATGTGAGACCGCAAGCGAAATTATCCAACAAGTGACAAGTGGATGTAGCAGCCACGCACAGTTGGAATACAAAAAGAGGCATGATGAAGTGGCGAAGCATATCCACCAATTATTGGCATTGAAAACGGGCTTCTCGGCACTTCTGTGCCATATAATAAATATGTGCCTCAGAACGTGCTCTGAAAGTAGTGAGCACATTCTCTACTGGGATCGCTCCATTATCATTGACAAACAGGTGGGCGGTAATAGACTCGATATAACTTACATTGATAGAAACCATCAGCAGGTTTTCCTTATCGATATATCAATACCCAATACCCACAAAATATCGGGAAAATATCAAGAGAAGATTCAGCAGTATACCGATCTCGTCCATGAAGTCGCAACTCAGTGGAACTTCAGTAAAGTGACGACTGTGCCTATAATAATATCAGCTACAGGAGTGATCCCGAAAATGACACTTCGGGCACTGGAGTGTCTTCACTTGGATGCCAGGAATGTATACAATATGCAAAAGTCAGTCATCTTGAATACATGTCGTATTGTACACGTAAGCTTCCGCTGCTCGAATCCATAAATTCTCGGCTATCCGGGAGACGCCGCGTTGGTTGGGGTGCCTACGTTTCGCCTGACATGTCGCAGGCTTCCTCGGGTCAGTCATAGCCGAGAATTTATACATGTATTGTTAGAAGCCACCGAAATCTTCAGTAAAGCAACCGTGCACCTGGTCATCATTAATGTAATAATAATAATAATAATAATAATAATAATAATAATAATAATAATAATAATAATTGTCAATTTGAGAATCAAAATCTCATATCCAAATGCTCCTCTTCAGGTGGGCCCTGAGGCATCAGATCTTCGGGAGTCCTTATTTCAAACGAAAGTTTTCCCGTCAAACAGGATTTACCTCTCCATGCAATAGAAATAACATACTGCGGTTAATGTGAATGAGTAAATACATTTTTAACTTTCTCGCCTTTCGAATTCTTCGTAAGAAGAGAAAGTTATATATAGTGCTCGTCAGCTAAAGAAACCAGCAAACGTGACAACTTTTGTTGTCACATTAACCCACAAAAAATGTCGCTGTCGGATGAGAACATGTATTCATACTTGATTTTGGGTAGTTTCATTTCGTTTTGCCAACCTTATCACAATTACCCTGTATATTTTACGTTTCCGTGGTGGGGACATTTAAAAATATTAAGTTTGCATTGAAAAAATGACTACTGCGGTAGATTTCACCAACATCCAAGCCATCATGTGGATTGTACTGTGTTAGTTTGCTATTTTTGCTAGCGATTCGCATTTTGCGGTTTGCTACTTTTCATAAATCTGTATTTAGTGGTTTCGTCAGATATATTAATTTAGCTCTACGCGCTTTTATTTTAATTTATTATCTTCCAATTGTTTTCATCACTAATCACAATGGAGTTAGTTGAAATATGTCTAGTAGTAAATGTCAGTTTTTAGATTTAGAATTTTTACAATAAAATTAATTAAATTAAATTTATTATTAATTTTTCTGAATCCAATTCATTAATAACACTAGACCACAATTTTTTTACCGAGTACAGAAAGAAAACATGGTGACCTTTATTATTTCGAACCTGGTGAATATGAAAATGCAAATATTTTTATCCTTTCATCCTCCACTGGAAGTTACAACACTTAAGAAAAATTACATATAAAAAATTGAATGAAATAAAAAAATACATTTTAAAAATTGAATGAAATATTTCTCGTTTCAAGAACCAACAATAGTCATCAACTCTGAGGTCCTTAAAGTGTACTGTGATGGTCCTTCGTGCACAATATCGTAAAATTACATTTGTGAAACCTGAGAGGTCCACAGGTCTTGGTAGGGAGAAACTCTAGTTTGTTGATCGTATGCGAAGGACACAGTTACGAAATTTAGTAAAATTGTAGAATTATTCAATCTTGAATAGAAAACAAAAAGTAGTGCTACAGAATGGCACAAACCTGCCTGTTGCCATCTGTCACCACCCATTTTTTTTGTTGAAGTTTTCTAAAGTTTTCGGTTTTCTAATAGTATAACGAAAATATTGTTTTATTAATATTAAAGAACAGTAATACCTTGTCCTAAATACCAATTTTCTTTGAAAAATTGGGAGCTGCATTTATGAAAATGGCGCTTAAGCACTACTGTAAATTCAAAATTTGAAGCAATTTTTTACAGACAATTTTTGAGTTTTTGTAAACCTTTATTTAAAGTCATTTGAGGCACATTAACCCATAAATTCAATAGTGTATACAAATTCCTGAAAATGTGCATATTATCGGCATTAGATATCTTTCAGAAAAACTACGCTTGTGTAATTTTTGAAAAATCAAAAAAATATCCCGAAATTAACTTTACGTCATTTTAAAGAGTGCAATTACCACCATCCTTTCGAAAAGTTTTTAAGAAAAACTTTGGAGCGGTTTTTCAGATAATGGCGTTTGAGTCTAGGCTAGGCTTAAGTTTAAGCTAGGTGTGATAGAAAACGGTAGAGTTTTCGACAAGCTTTATATTACATTATTTAAAGCACATAAACTCACAAATATAATAATGTAAAATAATCGCCAAAAATGTAAATATTAACGCGCGAGAGTCAAAAAATAAAATTTTTATCATTTTTGAAAAAACAAAGAAGTAAAGCAATATGGTGTTTATGTTATCTTGTAGAGTGCCTTTAGCACAATTCTTACCGAAAGTTTAAAGAAAAAATTTGGACCCGTTTTTGAGAAAACCTTAGTTTTGTAATTTTTCAAAATTGTATATATAGCACGCAATATTGCATGAAAAATACTAGAAATTAAAAGAAAATGTACGTGAACTTAATGAAAGAACAAAATAAAAGCAACAGGTTTCATTTCAGGGAAAAATCTCTCTTTAATTTTGTAGTTTTAAAAAGACTCCAAAATAATTGAAACTTTTGAAATTTTCGAATATTCGGAGTTAACCGTGAAAATCGGACTTATGTGGCATTTATAAGTGCATTTGACTACATTCTTTGAAGAAATTTAAAAAGAATTTGAGGTATTTTTAAGAAAATTTTAAAATTGACCGGGATGGGGCATCATGTAAAATATCCCCAAAACGAATTAATTATTTTCAAAATCGTAGAGCTTTGACTCAGCCCAAATGGACAGGGCTTTCTTCAATTTGGAAAAAATC